AGTGCTTGTTGTTTTTTGAAACGCAATCGATTATACGGGTTCGTTTACCTCTACACGCGTGACCGTAACCGTCGGTTGAAGGTTGCAAACTGACCTGACACACTGACCCAGTCCCCCGACCCAGTTCTGTCGTCGTGTTGAGCTAGTGTCCTAGTACCAGTCGGGGATGTCGCGAGTCGCGGCTACAGGACGGTATTCAGATATTTTTGATGTTGTACAGCCCTTTATCTCGGTTCCCTTAAGACATTGGTGTATATGGTACTAAGAAAAATTGCTTATGTTTTCAAGATCTACACGTCGTGTAAAGGAAAACCCCAACTTTGCGGACACCCTGTATACTTTTGTCCATTACTGTATGTCCAAAAACTGGAATAATCCTCCTATAAGATTTGATTGCATTTTTTTTTGTTACCCTCGTATTAATTTTAAAAGAGTAAATAAAGTTACTTTCCGCCTTGTTTTGCAAAATCGACCGCACTTTTTGGAACTGCTAATCAGAAGGGTAATGTTTTTAGGTATTTTTATACCTCATGTGCCTCTAACAACCCTGCATTGAACGGTTTCTCCGGGCCGATTGGTTAAAATTTGAAAACGATGCAAATTGTGTGTCGGATCTTTCTCATTTTGTTGGACGGAACACTGAATGTTTTCATGATCTGCTTCTGGTTAGTATTTGCGTTTTTTTGGAGTCGAAAGTTCCACCTAAAAGGCGGGTCGCACTCTAATCTTTCATTTAATCTATCTGGTCCAATATTACATTCTTTCTATACGATTCCAGAAACAGGAAACATTACCGGCGACGTGACGGTCGCTGCTGTTTATTCTTTCACAACAGATATTCACAACGTAATTATGGCGCGAGCCAAAAACCTAGTTATTATACGGTAGCTTTTACATTTGCAAATAATGTTGTGTAATGACGTAATGACTCTTATGTTATTAGTAGAAGGCGCGATATATGCTCAGCAATTGAATATCTGGTTAGGGTTAGTGATAAGCTGAAATGGTTTGTATGAAATGAGTAAATGTGGTTTGTGTCGGAATTAAAAAATGTCATAGCTAAGTTTTCTAATGAGAGTGCAATAATAATAATAACGTCTTTATTGGATAACCCGGAGGGACATAAACAGCGAAGTTTAGCCAAGGCTACTCTTACACTTAACTGTTTATGTCGGTAACATCTGATGTTCAAAACATGGACAAAAAATAAATATAAGAACAATGAAAAAAAGAACACATATATACCTAAGTATAAAATACAAATAGACACAATCTATATCTGTAGCAGAAATGCTTATTTAATCAATAGCGAGCAACATGCTTTTAGTATGTTTACGAAAACTTTCCAAAGACATCAATTTAATACTGTTGCCCAACTGATTATAAAATAGTGCTGCATTATATGTAAATCCTCGTTGGAATAATGCAGAAGTGTGTGGGGTGGTTCTGATACTAAAACGATTGCTAACAGCCATGTCATGCACTTCGTAATTAAATCTTAACTTAGCTCTTAGATATTCAGGCTTTGATGACAATATTATTTTATGAACTAAAACTAAGAATTTATGTTTAACCAAACGTCCTAACCTAAAGTAAATTGCGAGTAGGTTCTGCGAATATTTGACCCCAGCGGAAAAAAATAGAAATATCATTACGTCACTGAGGTAGAGGTATTAGGAAAATGATTCCATGCTACTACAACGTTGTTTAGAGAATATTCAGTGTTCTGTCATCAACCGGATTCATCAGTTCCAGTAAACTTATAACACCTTATTTTTTGCTAGGAATATTTTAAAGCCTATGCTTAATCGTATTTTGTGTGTCAGTTTTTAAAGAATTTTCTGCTATAGAAGTATTGTCACTGCTTTTTTGGATCAGACTGTACAATAAGCTCCGTTAAATCTGCAAATATTATGTCATTAAAAAATACTTAGTCACGGCTCTTCTTCTGCTTTGTGCCATTTTATTTGACAGGTACTTTACTTTAAATAGTTTCTTTTATGGAACTGTTTCAAATTCATAAATATGTAATATACTGTTTTGCAAACATTGTATAATTTGTTTGCCATTTTGGTGCTATTAACAACCATCAATATTTATCTTGCACCGTTATCTTTCATACGTAATACTCAAGGTAATAACTTCGCTAGACAAGTACATGTGCATTTGACATCTCTGTACGTCCGGCTACTTTCTATTGAAAATTTAGCATGCTTTCTCTGCAATGTCGCGAGTAACAGTAGTAGATAAAAAAGCTCAAATACAATGGAAGATTGTTGCATTGCAATACAGGGTGTCCCAAAAGTCGACGTCAAGCGGGTGATAGGCAAAGTCATAACAGCTATCAGAAAAATATTTAAAAAAATTTTATGTATGTGTTTTGAAAATTATAGGTCTTTGAAAAAGATATAGAAATTTCACACCCTACGGCAGTCTGTCAACTCCTGTTACTACAAATATTAACTTTTTTTGGATTTTATTTTTACAATGTAATGATGAATAATGCGTCTTCAAACTGATGTCTCAACCTTACTGCCAACTTTTCTCGTTCAGGAAAAATTGCCACTTATTTCCCAACCAAGTATTCCAAAGTAAAACTTTGCTCAACTTTAACTGGCTGTACTGGAAAAAAATGTACTACGAGAGTTTGGCAAGTAACCTTAAAAGTTGGCGCATTTAATAACGATTCCAAAATGGTATAACACTTAGAAGATTACTCGTTAACTTATGCACAATTTTTATTTGGAGGACGTGCCACTGAGTATTTACAGGGGCATGTGGTTTCAGCATGATGGCTGCCCAGCGCACTATGCACTCTCAGTGAGAGAGTATCTCGATCAAAACTTTCCAGGCAGATGGATAGTGCGGTCTGGTACAATACCGTGGCCAGCCCGGTCACCAGATTTGAATCCGTTAGATTTTTTTTACTGGGGAACTGTAAAAGAAAAAGTGTATTTCAAGCCTATTCAAAATGTAGCTGAGCTACGGCAAATACTATTGGAAGCAGCTGAGTTTGTTAATAATCGTGGATTCGCTCGTTTAATAACCCGATCTTTTTTAAGAAGATGTCGAGCGTGTATTGCGGCTGAAGGAAAACAGTTTGAGCATTTGCTGTAAAGGTAAATCATCATCAGCAGCATTTTGACGCCCACTGTTGTGCAAACAGTTATCCTTAAGGGTCCTTGTGCGTTTTCATAATCGCTGTTTAATTAGGAAATTTTGAAAAATTTTCATCAGTTTTTTTTCAAATAAAAATTGTGCATAAGTTAACGAGTAATCTTCTAAGTGTTATACCATTTTGGAATCGTTATTAAATGCGCCAACTTTTAAGGTTACTTGCCAAACTCTCGTAGTACATTTTTTTCCAGTACAGCCAGTTAAAGTTGAGCAAAGTTTTACTTTGGAATACTTGGTTGGCAAATAAGTGGCAATTTTTCCTGAACGAGAAAAGTTGGCAGTAAGGTTGAGACACTAGTTTGAAGATGCATTATTCATCATTACATTGTAAAAATAAAATCCAAAAAAAGTTAATATTTGTAGTAACAGGAGTTGACAGACTGCCGTAGGGTGTGAAATTTCTATATTTTTTTCAATGACCTATAATTTTCAAAACACATACATAAAATTTTTTTAAATATTTTTCTGATAGCTGTTATGACTTTGCCTATCACCCGGTTTCGGCTTGACGTCGACTTCTCAAATAAGTCTACTTGATTCATCTTTTTTGACATACAAGCACACGGAAGCTATTTTTTGGAGTGTTTCCAAATTATGCTGGTTATGAAAAGTCAACAGTCATGTTATTTTTAAATAAAAAAGTAGGTAATAGGTGGTAGTAGCTACACGTGGGACTTTCCGCGTTATCTACTTTCTCAAATTTTCGATATCTGTTTGAGAAGTGTCAATTCATCAGTTTAGATTGATTTTATTGTGAAAATTGAAATGTTCAGGAAATGGTCCGCACGTCTAGAAAACATTTATTGTAGCTGTTGAAGCAAACTGAACTGAAAAATATTTTTCGAATAAAAAAATCAACTGAAAGATGTAATCAATATCATTTGTGCTTTATAATTAACTTATGATTACTTGAAATAACCGATTCATCATTAACTGAACAGTTCATAAGAACATACTATCTCCTTCCAGAAAAACCTAGTCGGCGTGAATATTATTACGTATTTATAATGAATCACCGAGTCGGCAACAATCATTAGCCATGATAGTGAGAAGAACTAAAAATAACTGCTTCAACATATCATTATCTGTGTCATTATTTTCTTAATTCATGTTTCCTTCATTGTACCACAACTTTTTATACATTGATCTGTTAATACCACCTCATCGTGGAATATGTGTGAATTCCATTTTGTACGAATTTCTACAAGATACTATATTATTTGAAATAGCAGGAAAATTATAACCTTATATATAAACGTACTAATCAATCTAGGATAATATACTACATATTTTCATCTCTAAAAGTGTACGGGAAAATAGGAGCTTGGATCATAAATCATCACTTCCAAGCAAGAAACAATCTGTTATCGTTTTTAAAGATAACACAGAAGCGCAGGATTATGGGTCCATATACTCAAATGTTTTCTACTGTTACACTGAATAACCTCTACAAGTTTGATCCCATAGTTCTGAAACACCCTGTATACTGGAGATTTCATCAAAATTGGCTGAATCGTTTCGTAATGCCGAGTGTAATTACTCGAATATACCTTGGATCATCTGAAAGTCTTCATGTACCATGTGTCTCATTTAACAGTTGAGTAATGCTACTTAACAAACTAATCTATTCGTTTTATTCGTTTGTACCTGCATTGTAATCTTATGAAAGGATTGTTCGTGGAAACTTCATTTTCAAACTCAAATAATCACTTTTTATGTTTCCCAGTCAATGTATCGTGATAAAAGTCTGATATAACACAATGGAAGTTGCTACAGGCATTATCCTACCAAAACTGACTGTACTATTATTTTGGCACATACAGGGTTGTTGCTTGCCAGCACCGTTCAGCGAGGATCCAGAGCCTAGTGCGTTGAGGAACGCCTGCGATTACTCGAGGCGGATTACGTTGGATGAAGCCAGGGCCGGACTCGCGCCCAGGCCTGTGAGGGTTTATGCTGACGGAGCGTTCGATCTATTCCACCAGGGTCATGCCAGGGTGTTGCAGCAAGCAAAGAATGCCTTTCCCAACATTTACCTTATTGTCGGAGGTGAATATATACGGATGATATGGTTTTCTAATGTGTGAGAGTTGCTATATATAGATTTGGTGCTTTTGGGTTGCCATTCGGTTGCTTGTGTCATACATGGGAAGCTTGTTGGGTTTGTCACGGTACTTCTAGCCAAAGATCTCTCGGCAGAATTTGTATAATATTTAGTCGTTGAACAAATATAATTTTCACAAAGATTATGAGCAATGTAATGACAGCATGATGATACTAATCTATTACCTTAAAATTATAATTTGGCATGTGTATTATGGTACGAAACCTATAAAAGCTAAATTGTAGCATGGTTAACTGAAGCACCTGCCTCCTCACTAAAAAGTACGTTCATATTTTATTAGAATCCATAAGTAATGTAAAATATTCTCTTTCTTTGTTATATCATCGCACAATGGTCACAGGTTTCATCATTTCTACGTGGTTTCAGTTCATATATATATATATATACAGGGTGACTTTGAAGTTGAGTCATTAATTTTCAGATAATGATTGTAGAAGGAAGATAAACCAAAATATGTGTGTAAAAATAAAAAAAAAAAATTTACCTTGTTTTATAAAGTATCCTCCCGACAAGTATTTCAGTGCGGACCTGTATTTGATCGTGAGGTCTTGGAGCACCGGCATGCAGTCCTCTGTGTGGTCTTAAGTCACCTGATTCACGAGCCCGTTGTACAACATTAACAAAGGCACGAGGGGTTGGTTGCACTCGATTGGGAAACCGATCCGCATAAACATGTGCCATTTTTTATTTCGTTTGAGCCACGCAACAGACACTACTATTCACTGACACTGACTGTATACAAATGAATAAAATAATTGTAAAAACATCGTTCCAAATTCTTTCGCTTTTTTGTTTCCGATGCGATGAACCGATACGGCGGATTATATCCGTTGTCGCCAAACACGAGCACATAATATTATTATTGAGACAGGGCGGTACTCAAACTTCCAAAAGGCTATAACTTTGTTACTTTAATTTTACCAGAAAAATGGTAAAGGAAAAAACATTTCTTTTGATCAGATCTACTCGCTGTTAAAATAAATGACTCAACTTCGAAGTCACCCTGTATATATATCGTATGGGATATGCCATATACAAGACCACTGCTTAACTGATCATTCGATTACTCATATTTGCGATATGGAAAACCCAGCAGTTATATTTAAAGCGCTCATAATCTTTTGTTTGGATTGCATTTGTTCAGAAACATATACTATATTTTGCAGTGAGATTTTGTACTATCATGATTTTCTTGTTGTTGACTGGTACTGATACCTATCTTCAGTGGTGTTCATAACACCTTGGGGTGGATTTTCATCTCACTACAATTCCAGATTGTCATGTGGAGTTATTTCAAGAAATTTCCTCTTTCCTTTATCCTTATATTGACCTTATTCATTTTACTATTTCATGCGGTATTATCCTAATGTCATCTCACCATTTTCCTATGAACTCTTTGCTAATACACATATTACTAAATTTTAATGATACAAGTAAAATGATAACGATGCTGTTATTTATCAGAAATAACGTAAAAGAAATGGGGTAACACGGTTGTAAGCTAACACTTTTATACCACATAAATCTTTCATTAAGGCATGTTTGTTCTAAGTATATTACAGGGCTTACGACGTAAATATGGAATACTTTTACAGCTGTCCAATTGCTTCTATATTTATGATATGTTAGTGTCGTGAAAATAGTCATGCATTTTCAGGAAAATCTGGTTATCCCCTACAAAATTACTTTAGAGCTATGCATATTTCACTTATTAAGGTCGGTCAAATGGTTGTGTCGTAAATGGAAGAATAAGATTTTATATTCAACTCGTTCTATATTGTTTAAAAGGAACAATATGTCTAAGACAGGAGCTACAAACGAGTATGATCCATTTTCAAATGAAAACAATTTTTTTCTGTTTTACCAAAAGGATTCGTTGTGTTTGTTTTTCTGAAGTTCGTCGTTTCATCGTCCTTGTCAGGAAAAAGTTTCTTATTATCAAATATTGAATTTTCTATTAGGTTAGATTTTAATGATTTGCGCTAAAATAAAGCGAAACCCTATTTCTTATAATTTTGAAAATCCCTTTATTTTTATATGATTCACTGGCTATCTCTGCTTATGTGTTATAGACGTAGACATTTGTGTTATGCAAGTTTATATGGAGCATCATTTTTAGGTTCAGCCACTATATTCTATTTTCTGTTTTGTTAGAGATGTATCACAATTCTTGTGATTTGTGTTAATAGATTCCGGCCAGGCTGATATTCATGCACAAAAACACACATCGTAGTATTTTTTGTTACCAAAATATACCTCTCTTATTTGAAAGCTACAGAAAATCGTCTCTCATCAAGGCAAGAAGGTCCAGCTTTAAAATTCCTTAATCTATATAAAATGCATAAAAAGGTGGAATACTATTTATATTTAAATGAAACAAAATTCGAATTCATGTATACAGGGTTATCCAAATTAAGTGTCCACCATTAGTAACTTTGTTATTAGTGAAAATACAAAGTTGTTTGAATTAGCAAACTAGTAGCATTTTTAACGCTGGTAAAAATGAGAAATAAAAAAAAACAATTGAGAGTCGTTATTTTGATTTTTTTCAGTAAAATAACATTTTTTTAAATGGAAACCCCTGTATATTATATTTTTTTCTGTTAATGCATCAAATTTTAAACAAAAAAGCTTACAATAACTTTTCTCCTAGGTTACAAATTGTTGAAGTTATGGCCTCCAATCTGAAACAATTAAATTGTATCGACAAACTTTATTTTCAACATCAACTTATAATCTTACAAAATACAATAACAATTTTTTTAAAGAAGATGCTCGAAAACACCACCTTGTTCTTCAATACATTTTTGGGCACGTTTTTCAACTGCTCGAACTGTCTTAAGTATGGTCCTACCATCTATCTGGGTTATCTTTTCCCTAACTGCAATCTTTAACGCGTCAAGGTTATCGTACCTTCGCTTGTAAATTTGGTTCTTTAAGTAACCCCACAAGAAGTAATCAAGTGGGTTTAGATCTGGTAATCTGGGAGGCCACTGTATTGGGCCATTTGTTCCTATCCACTGATCATTAAAAGTAGTACTTAGAAAATGATAAGTACCTCTGGAGTTGTGGGCAGGTGCGCCATCTTGCTGAAAATGCAGATGATGTCTACTTATAAGATCCAATTCGTCTAAGAAATTAGTCAGAATTTCTGACATAAATTCCACATATCTTTCACCAGTTAGGGTTCCCTCATAAAAGAACGGGCCAACAATTTTTGAACCAATTATACCGCACCAAACGTTGAAACTGAAACGGACTTGTGGGCCTCTTGGATGTACTAACAAAAGATTTTCTCTTGACCAATAATGGTGGATTTTTCTATTAAACATTCCAGAATTTGAAAAATTTGATTCATCTGTCCATAAAAGGTAACGAAAGTTATTTACATTTTGGCGACAGAAGCTAAGATACCAATGGCAAAAAACAAGTCTTCTCTCTGGATCCCCTGCCAAAAGCGTTTGAACTGGTCGGTACTTATACGGAATAAATTTGTATTTTTTTAAAATCCTTTGAACAGTACCATAACTGAAATTAGAGTCCTTGAGAATATCTGCTATTGAATTCTCACGATAAGCTTCAAAATATCCAATAACTGCAATTTCCGTGGCCTCGCTTATTATGAATTCTTTTTTTGCTCTTGTTTTAGCAAAAACATTTTCGTTGCCCCTAAATTTTCGATAAAGTCTCAGAAAATATCGTTCATACGGTTGAATGCGAGCGGGATATAATTCACTGTAGTATTCTCTTGCTCTCAAGGAGGATTTTCTGCACACTAAATAGCATTCTAACATATCACACTTTTCTTCATGGGAGAACATTTTTCTTTAAATTAATGACACAATAAAGCTTATAAACAAGTATTTACACTAATGTTTGACATTATTAGATTTTATCATTGTTTTCCAAAGCCTTCTAGTTGCGAGTATGTCCAGTTTAACAATTTGTCGCTTATCTTAATGCTGTCAAATCGCGAACGCCATGTTGTTTTCATAGCCGTCTTAATATTATAATACTGCAAATAATTAAAAATATTTATCGTTATTTTGACTTTATTTTTGACTTTAGCGGAAAAGTCATTATGAACTTTTTTGTTTAAAATTTGATGCTTTAACAGAAAAAAATATAATATACAGGGGTTTCCATTTAAAAAAATGTTATTTTACTGAAAAAAATCAAAATAACGACTCTCAATTGTTTTTTTTTATTTCTCATTTTTACCAGCGTTAAAAATGCTACTAGGTTGCTAATTCAAACAACTTTGTATTTTCACTAATAACAAAGTTACTAATGGTGGACACTTAATTTGGATAACCCTGTATATGAGATAACGGAACATGTTAATTTAATTCTCTTGATTGGATGTTAATCTTTATACTATATTCATCACTTATTGGCGCTATCCTTTCATACTCACCCATGTTAATAAAATGATCACTCATTTGTTTCAGTCACTCCATATTCATTAACTGTGCATTATCGTCGCGTGTTACATAACAAGAAAATCATGTGGCGTGTATTTTTTTCTGAGAAACCTACACCAACACAGACTGTGGTAATTTCATCCAGTATGTGTTCAAGGACGTGTATATTTAAAGATGTGAAAAAAGTGACTGTGATTATCAAATTTATCAATACGGCAAGTATGACGTATACAGTAACGTAAAATAAATTTGTGAACGTATTTTTTGTTCGCACTGTATTGTTTTTCATTTTTCACATTACTTCCGTCCTAGTTGCACTGTACATATGCGAGAAATGACGCAAACGATCAAAAATGCGCAATTATTGCCTGCCTGCTTATGTTCCTAACTATGCTAAAATTAATTTTTACAACCGCTCTTGTCACATTAATGTATTGCAAAACCAGTGATTTCGTACCAGCTCTCCAGTACATATGCATTTGTATTGGTTTTTATATAATCGCAATTATTGTTCTTTTTTAATGCCCCACCTAAACATTTTGAAAACTGAGCATTCCATAAAAAAGTTCCACACAAAAGTTTTGAGGGACAAGATGATGGTGACCTTGGCAATGACTTTGACTACGGTACTTTCAAAGCCAAGTGAATATTTTGAAATTAAACCTCCCTTTTTCACATTGGAATTGCAAACAAAAGCAAATTTTACGTCAGAACTCCACCTTGGTCATCTTGAGCATGACTAACCATGTCATTTAAGGCCAAATTGAAATTTCCGAAGGATACCTCTCGTTTTTATACTGTAAATAAAAAAAGCAAGAAATTTTACTTCCGAATATGACCTTTGTCTCAACATTTAAGCTTGACACCAGCTTGATTTGAGAGATCAAGGTCACATTTGGGTGATCCCCACAACCTCACAACTATGCTGATGAAAATTTTTGCTAGAGGAAATTCTTTTTGATGTCTCGATTTGACCTTGAAATGGCCTTGAAGACAATGGTCAAGGTGATGGCCAAGGTGATGTTTGGACGTAAAATTTGCCCCACTTTTCATTTCCGATGTGAAAAAGGGGGTCCGTTTGGAAATATTCATTTGACCTTGAAATGGCCTTGAAGACAATGGTCAAGGTTATGGCCAAGGTAATGTTTGGCCGTAAAATTTGTCCCGCTCTTCAGTTTTGATGTGAACAAACGGGGTCCATTTGGAAATATTAATTTGACCTTGAAATGACCTAGAAGGTTGTAAGGATGATATGATAAGGCCACAATCATTTTCTCTCTTGAAACTCTCACTTTCATTTGATACTTTTTTTCTAGAGTACACAGTTTTCGAAATATTTAGGTGGAGAGATTAAAATGGGACACCAGGTATATCTACAAATAGAACTCGTCAACGTTTGGTTAAAAGAATATATACATATATAAAAAAAGTAAATTAAAATAATATACATATGTATAAACAAATGCAAAGAGCTTAAATAACAAAGTACACAAAAGTAGTCCACAAACAACAAGCAAAGCTACAATAAACAAAACTCGGAGACTGCATAGTTGCAGCTCTTGAAATTTACATTCATCGTATCTGCAGCTTGTTAGAGGTTATTCAAAGGCGTATTGTATTATCTTAAATTAATATTTATTTGTTTTTTATCTCCTGATAACCCAGACACAACATTCCAAGTGAATTTACTGCGAAATTGTATTTCTAGAATAATTTTTGGTATCAGATGCTAGTTTTTGATCTTGCTTGTGGCTCTAGTTGCGCGATAAATTTATATTAAAAAATCATGGCTGATATATGACACGAGCTTGATTTGATCGGTTTGCTTTGGAAATTTTGACTTGACCTTCAAGGTCAAGGCCACGCTTGGGTGATCCCCACAACCTCACAACTATTCTGATGAAAATTTTTGGTAGAGGAAATTCTTTTTGATGTTTGGATTTGACCTTGAAATGGCCAAGGTGATGTTTGGACGTAAAATTTGCCCCTCTTTTCAATTCTGAAGTGAAGAAGGGGGTCCATTTGGAAATATTCATTTGACCTTGAAATGACCTAGAAGGTTGTAGGGGTAATATGTTAAGGCCACAATCATTTTCTCAATATTTAGGTGGGGAGATTAAAATTGGACACCATGTATATCTACATATAGAACTCGTCAACGTAACGTTTGGTTAAAATAATATATACATATATAAAAAAAGTTAATTAAAATAATATACATATGTATGTATAAACAAATGCAAAGAGCTTAAATAACAAAATACACAAAAGTAGTCTACAAACAACAAGCGAAACTACAATAAACAAAACTCGGGGACTGCATAGTTGCAGCTCTTTAAATTTACATTCATCTTATCTGCAACTTGTTGGGGGTTATTTAAAAGCTTATTGTTTTATCTTAAATTAATATTTATCTGTTTTATTTCTATAATAATTTTTGGTATCAGATGCTAGCTTTTGATGTTGCTTGTGGCTCTAGTTTCGCGATAAATTTATATTAAAAAATCATGACTGATATATGACTATTATTTTAACATTTACAAACAGTGCCTAGAAAGCTTGATGTAAGCCTAGAAAAAATCTTAACCCAACAACTGCTGTAAACATACTGTTAATGATTCAAATATAAATAAAAAATGAATACAAGAATTCATTACATTGAAACAAAATGTTTGAAAAATCGGCCAGCTTCTCGCAAAAATATTGTACTGGTAATCTGCAATGTTTGCTGAGAATGTAACTCATTAACTCCAATATAAGTAGCTTGAATAACATTATAATAGTAGTACTGGTCGCCTACATTGTGTAGGGATTATATAAAGCTTATTTATTTACTCGTCGGTACCTTAACTTAGGCTACCATTATTAAAAAGTAATAACTGGTTCCCTAGATGTCGCCAAAGTAATTATAGTTCATTGCCAATCTATTGCAATAGTTACAGTTATTAGAGTCAATACGTTTATTGCTAACGTCTAGACTTTTTCGTTTCTCCGTCATCAATTAGCAATTAAGGTAACTGATCAGGCGGTAAAAGTTCATAGTCCGGTGATTTTGTTGTAACATTGCTGTCCTTTTGCTTTCGTTTCCAATTCGGATGATATATCCAATTAATTTTCTCCGTCAGCTAGATTAATTAGCAACTAGTTTCTATTTCTATCACACAAACGTAAATATGCTCGTGATTCCACTTTTTTGATAAAAAATAATAAATTATAATAGCCAGTCAATATCAATAATTATGTAATTTTATATTATTTTTGACTTACTACGACCACGATTCATCGAACTTTTCGTACTCCGGAAAATATCGAGAGTTCGTGAAAGTGCAGTGGAGCGCCCTGAGACGTCTACCAAACATCGTTCTCAAGATACAGGCAGACATTTGTCTGATATTATTTTTCATACATAATTTCTAATTTTCAATAAAAGATTAAGATGAAAAAAAATGGAAGTATTTTATTACATTTCACTAATATTCAAGATACAAACCAGTCAGTTACATATCGGCCACCCTATTGTAACACCATATTTCAATTGTATCAAATGTTTGTTTGGACAAATATATTTTTCTCTCTTGTCTGGATCGTAAACCATTTTTTGAGTCGTTGAATTTTTGATTGGGTTAGAAAATAAATCTATTAGTCATATCACATTCACTTTTGCGTAAAATTAATAAAAATATACAGGGTGGCGTATCGACAACGAAACAGACGCATTTACTGGCAGCTCAGTTTTTTTTTTGGAAAAACGCTCAGACCCGTCGATTTTGTTTTCGAGGGGGACACAAGTTTGGCAAAAAATCACGTTAACACGTGCAGCCCCCTGGGCGGGGGTGACACCAACCCTGAAATCTTAAATGGATAGGGGGGTCGAGTGATACCGTATTTTAAAGGTCTTTCAATTCTCTTTATAATGATGTAAAATAGATGAGCTTCAGTTCAGTAGTTTTGAAGACTTATTGATTTAAAGCTTAAAGTAGACTTTAATAGGTACAACAAACCATGGGCGAAGTGAAGAAAAGCATTTACTTATTAAGTAAACTCTTTTAGTCAAATTTCTTCTGAAAGTAGTACAAACTAATCTGATGTACCTATTAAAGTCTTCTTTAAGCTTTAAATCAATAAATCTTCAAAACTACTGAACTGAAGTACATTAATTTTATATCATTATAAAGGGAATTGAAAGACCTTTAAAATAAGGTATCACTCGGCCCCCCTTTCCATTTAAGATTTTGGGGGTGGTGTCACCCCCGCTTAGGGGGCTGCACGTGCTAACGTGATTTTTTGCCAAACTTGTGTCCCCTCGAAAACAAAATCGACGGGTCTGAGCGTTTTTCAAAAAAAAACTGAGCTGCCAGTAAATGCGTCTGTTTCGTTTTCGATGCGCCACCCTGTATAAATAAACGAATAGGATATCTGCTATGAAGAATATGCAATTTTCTCAAATACTAGTCATTCATTTTGTGGTACCTAGGACGACCACTGACTTTCGTGTTCATATAGGCAGTGGAATATAAAAAGTTTCAAGATTTCAGTATATTTAAAAATATACCGTAAGGTTGTGATTTTAACATCAATTACTTTTTTGTGATTGAACAGTTTCACGTAACGACAGCATTACAATCTACAAGGAATTCACGTTTTGTGGAATGTGCTTAGGTTACAATTGTACGTAAATCAATTTACTGAAAAAGATCTTAAACTGAAATGTGATTTATGAAAATAACCAAATTTAAAATATGTGTATTTTAACATTATTTTGGTTCACTATCGAATGCCGAGTATCAAAGGTATACTGGAAGTTACGAAATCATTGGTAAACTATATTTTATGGTCTATTTTGATACAGTGATAACTTGACACTTCCGATTTTACAGCTTATTGAAAAAACAGTTATTGATAAGGTGACAGATTGGAATGCATTTGAAATTGAAGAAATATGATTGTGGTCTCCTGATAAGGCAAAGGTCGCTATTGTGTGAACAAATGTTTGTTACCTCTGTACCACTCAATTGTTAATTTTATGATTTGTGCGACTGTGCTTTGATATCATAGACATTGAAATTAAGCCACTTTGCCAGTTTCAGTAGCAAAGTCTCCATCGCGTGCATTTTGTCGCCATAGTCTGTCGCCAATGGCAAACGTCATAAGACGTTTTCATTTGACAGCCTATTTGAAAATAAAAATAGTTCTGAAGTAGCAAAAATAGATTTTTTTACCTGCCAAGATGACGGCTTTTCAAGTCACATGTGTGAAAGTAACATGCTGCGATTTAAGTATAGGAGTACTGTCGAATTACGACAGCACAAAATGTCATATATAAAAAATGGAGCACTGCGAGAGTGGTGAACAGCAGCTATCTATTGGAACTGTGACCGCTTGATGCCGTCGATTCTAGCGATATCGTAGATGATGGTCTACTCGCCAATGAAAAACGAATTGTACTGCTTCCGTTCGTTTGACCAAGAGGGCCAATAGTGTTTCGTTCTTATTGGAAATCATCATCACGGCTTAAGCTTGGTTTCTACGACAGTGAACGAAAGCAGAGCGAGTATAAGGTCTATCGAAATACGACAGACATTATCAGTTTTTCAATGGCAAGTAGGCCATCGTCTACTATTTAAATAATCTATCCCAAATTGTAAAATTATATTTAAAATAGATTAAGTATAAACGCAGGGGTACCTCAAGGATCAGTATTAGTTAGGTCCGAATTACTTTGGCTTTGGCAAGACTCGGATATAAATGAAATTAACACAAAAATTGATAGTGGTATACAATCAATCAAAAAATGGCGTGACAAGAATTACTTGACATTCAATGTTAATATGACAAAGTTTATGACATTTAAATGCTCCAATGATTTTATAAATTTAAATAACGAATCGATACACAAAACAGACACCATCAAATTTTTGGGAATGATCATTGATCATGAATTAGATTTTACTAATTAAGTAGACAAATGGCTTAATCAACTAGCAAAAATTTCGTATTTAGTTACAACGCAGGGAAAAGCACAGCCTCAAGCAGATACTTTGACTTATTTGAAAGTAGATTGAGATATAGCATTCCCTTTTGGTATGTATGTTCCCAAAATTGTTTAAAAAACTGCTTATTCTACAAAAACGAACTATCAGATATACAGGGTGCGGCAGAGAGGATGGACGGTTTTAAAAAAATCATAAAATAGTTAATTTTAACTCGAAAACAAATTTATTGATGGAATCAGGTTCACAAGGAAATAGCATTTGAGACAGTCAAGTGTGGAAAATCACATCAGGCATGTGGTGGCCGAAATCGTTGATGCAGTGCTGGAGGCGTTCTTGGAAGTTCGCTGTCTCAACTTGGGCGACTTCCACGCGAATTTCGCCCTTCAATTCGTCCAGAGTTCGAAGCTTGTTCGCGTATACTCTAGCCTTGAGGTGTCCCCATAAGAAAAAATCGCATATGGTTAAATCTGGGGACCGAGGAGGCCAATGAACATCGCCAAACCTGGAAATAAGGCGAGAGGAAGTGATTCAACCCAACGAAGGATGGTGTTTCGAGAGGGAACAGCTCTATTCCGATGAATGTTGAAGTGGCGACGAAACTCACGCTGTACGGCGATGACTGACTTATTATCCCAAAAACGTCCGTCCTGTCTGCGGCACCCTGTATAACTGAAAACAATCCTAGAGATACATGCAGGCATTTATTTGTAAATCTTAAAATAATGACTGTCGTCAATAAACCTAAATTTGAAACAATAAATATACGTTATAACATTAGATGAAAACAAGATTTTAAATTAGTAGTACCTAAATCAACACCTGTAAAGGACTCAGTAATATATAATGGTCTGAAATTTTACATGCGCCACCCTGATCTTATCGAAAGAACTAACAATTTAAAGATATTCCGAACACTTTTAATATGTAAACTATATTATACTGTGTGTGAGTTCTACAATTCATCTACTCAAGGGCCACATTTGTTACAGTTTAGTCTCAAGTTAGCCTTGCCATTAAGAATGATTGTGTTCTTTAGACAATAAATCATATCCATCTAGGTATCTATACTAAGTGACATATAAATCCGAACACCCAGTTTAAATGGTTTTATTTTAATAAAATTTGGTATTATTCTAACCCTGGCACGACCATCGTGCATGCCTAAACAAAATCGAGACTCGTCACTAAAGACATTCCTGATCCCAGAGTGACCGTTGTCTGCACCACTCAAGGCGATTACGTCGGTGTTCTCGAGTTAAAGGGAGGACCCAGTGTGGCCGGTATGAAAACAAGCCAAAACTTCTCATTCGTCGGTAAACACTTCGCATGCCAATAGGTTTTCCGTGTTCTGCAAACCATTCACTTGCAATGGACCTGGTAGTGGAGAAACGGTCCCTTAAGGCCAATAATCTTAGGCGGCGATTTTCACGGTCTGTTGTTCTACGGCGGCGTCCAGTGCCCCTTGCTCTTTGCGTACGGCCTTCTCGAAGTAATGCCTGACAACACCTAACCACAGTGTCTACACTTCTTTGCACTCTAACTGCAATTGCCCGAAAAGAAAGTCCAGCTTCCCGAAGTCCCACTATACGGCCCCTGTCAAACTCACTAAGTTGACGAAATCGCACAGGTCTCCGTACTCTAGGCATCGTAACCGATCGTAAAGGATGTCAAGAACCAAAATCCGCCAACGTTGATTCTTTACTGCGGCTGAAATCTTCATTTTTAGAGCGTTAGTGAATTAAAAAAAAGCAGTATAAAAACCGGAATGTCCAACTGATAAGGCTGAAAATTTTTTCACTTGTTATTTACAGTAAGATAAATACATTCACCAACTTTTATTAAAATAAAACCATTTAAACTGGGTGTTCGGATTTATATGTCACTTAGTATATATTGGCAGAATCGACGATGCCAAGCGGTCACAGTGGTGACTCGGCTGTCGATGTGAATATGAGATATTTTATAGTTCTGTTGTTTACTCTCGCAGTGGTTGATTCTCTTGCTTTTTTGCTGTCGTATTTCGATATATCTTATATCTCAGATAGAAGACTCCTCTGCTTCCGTTTGTTGCCCTTTTTCTGTTCCTACCTAGAGACCAACTGTAGACCGTGTTGATGATTGACAATAAGCATGAAACAAAACTATACACTGTTGGTCGAACGGGTGGAAGCACTAATATTAGAAGAGAACTGTCAGCGTGAGATAGCGCAAAGCGCCATCTATCGCACCAGAATCGTCCATTGTGGATCGCGCATCGCTGCTATTAGTTAGAACTGTCAAGGATCTCAGTTCGAGCTTAGTAGCCGTGCCGCTAGATGGCTGATGATTCTGGCTGAGAGTAGATCTTGTTAAATCAGAAGAGAACTATACTTTGTTATGTGATTGTGCTGCCGTCATGTTTTTAGATTTCACCTGTCACCTTACTGAACTGTTTCATTCGAGTAGAGATTAATATAAATACATTAGTGTAATGTCAGGTGCACTTCATATAGTTTTCCGATATGACAATATCAAAAAGTATTTCTTGCATGTTACTATTTCTGATATAGCCCAAAGTAAACATTCTCTTATTTTTAGTTTGCAGTGACAAGATGATCAACAAGCACAAAGGCCGGACCGTACTGAAAGAAGAAGAACGATACAATGCCGTGCAGCATTGCCGATATGTAGATGAAGTTCTACGAGATGCACCGTGGGAATATAGTGACGAGTTTCTCAGGAGGCACAAGATCGATTTTGTAGCTCACGATGATATACCTTATTCGTGTGGTGACACTGAGGATATATATGCTGAATTGAAGCGTAGAGGCATGTTTCTGCCTACCCAAAGGACTGAGGGAGTGTCTACCTCTGACATAGTTGCAAGGATAGTCAGAGATTACGATGTATATGTCCGGAGAAATCTAGCTCGGGGCTACTCTGCCAAAGATTTGAATGTATCTTTCCTAAAAGAGAAGAAGTTTAAGTTGCAGAATAAGATGCACGAGTTGAAAGATAAGGGTAAGAATCTAATGGATTCGATTGGTGAGAAGACAGACGATATAATCGCCAAATGGGAAGATAAGTCAAGGGAATTTGTGGATAGCTTTCTGTTGTTCTTTTTCAAAAAGCCGTTGAAGATTTGGAATAATTCCAAGGAGAAGATTTTGAATGCCATCACGTCGGATCAGTCAAGTTCATCTCATTCTAGTGATAATGACGATGATGAGGATATTGTGCCCATTAAAAGGAGGAGGTTCGTGTAAGATAAGTCGACTTGAATAATGGCTGTGCAATTACAAATTACTTATATTATTTAAGTAGTATTCGAAGATTTTTATATTTAATGTAATCCTATTTAATTATCTTATTTAAGCTTAAAATGTCATGTATGTATACCACAATAAATTATTATTTTGCTTGTTTGGTTATATAATCTCTAGTCATCTAAAAACTATTGATATAAATTCGAGGGTTTTCTAGATCGTAAAATTTATCATTTCGTAGAACAAATTGTTATCTGGCTGGGCTATGAGTAGTTGATGGCCACGCCCTGATTTATTATAATCAATGTTAGGATGAGCCAGAAAATCATTTTGAAACATGCCACAACCTAGCAAATGTCTATTTACAAAAATGTATTGTCATATTGAGTAGCTCGACATTAAGCATATAGTTGGTAATAAAACAGTTTTACTGAACATAATAAAACAGTTTTACTGAACAATTGATTCGATCACGTTCACATCCATGTTTATTTAGCTTGGTTATATAGTGTGTCTCAATAAGACGTCGGATTTGATTTTCAAGAAAAACACAATTTCTTTTCCAATTAAGCGAGTATTTATATTTCAACATAAAGAGGAATAGTTGCCATTAAACATGAAATAGGTCATCCGGTAAATGACCACCACGAAACCTCTGGCACGGTCAGTCATTTCTTAAAGTTCTTGATAACTTTTTCGCGCACCTATGGCTCTATTTCTTCGATAACGGGCCTTATCTCTTCTTTAAGGCATTCAACTGTTTGTGGCTTGTTCGCATACACCTTTTCGTTCACATAGCCCCAGAGGAAGAAGTCCATTGGCGTTAGATCGCACGATCTTGGTGGCCAATTTTGATCGCCAAACCGAGAGGTCGTTGCAGGTCGCACCGTCTTGTTGGAAGAACATGTTCTCCACATCAATTCGATCCAACTGGGGCCACAAAAACTCGGTTAACATCTCGCGATACCGCATACCAGTTTCAGCTGCATTTTCGATCACTCCACAATGCGCACCAAACGGTAAATCGCGGCGGATGCATTGGTTGTTCGAGTATTGGTTCTCGACGTACCCGTTCAGTTGAAAATGTGCCTCATCAGAGAAAATGATTTTCTTCGAGGAATCTGTATCAATTTGGTGGTGCTCCAGCGCCCAATCAACGAATTCACAACGCTGCGCATGGTCCGTTGGCTTGAGTCCTTGCGTCAGTTGAACATGAACAGATCTTTTGTCAAAATTCGTTGCAGAGTGGGTGTGGTAAGATTCAATTTTTGGCCACGATGCCGAATGGAAGTGCCTGGATTCTCGGCCACACTTTCCCTCATTGCGACTATATTCTCGTAGGACCGTCCAGGACGGCGACGAACAGTGATCTTCACATTCGGAATTTTGTAATTAAACGGCAAATTGTCGACTCATTTGGCGCATTATTGCGACCGAAAATTGTACGTAATGTGCGAACAGTTTCCGCGCAATTTTCTCCATGACGTTTAATCGCGTGGTCTGGATATGACAGCTGTCATCAAGTAATCACCATACCATTTGTAAAAAAATGGCGGCAAATTCAAATCCGGCGCTCTTGTTGAGACACCCTGTATTAAACCGAAAATTAAAATAGCTGCCAAAATGTTTAGACACTTCAGAACTTAACAAAGATCCGCATGCGGCTAAATAAATCTTTAATGAACATTGTTTCCTCAATCGAAATTTTATTCACATATTTAATATACTCGTATATTGATAGAGCGATACGTCTTTCATGACTTCATACATTCCCGTTTCCTTGAACTTATGTACATTTTTGCAATGCCCGACAAGTGATAATTCATGAATTATTAACGTTGGATACTAAGCCTCTTTGTATTGGAAGCCAGTGACGTCAAAGTTCGAAAGTGCAAAACTACGTTCTTTGGACTAACTATTACGTCTCTTAGTTTATTTCGACTACTCGTTTCTATAAAATTACGGTAGTGTGGGTTTCTACTTTTAGGAGGTATTGTCAAGTCGATTGCGCGTAAGGTAAATGAAAAACAGCAGTGTAAGAATAGAATGAACATTTATTTGAAGTTTTCAGACAAAAAACAATGTGGTATCTCCTCAAAAGTAAATACCAACAAGAGCACATCGCTTGCATGTATTTTGAAAAATTTCATGACCAAATACCTCGATCTCCAAACAGACAGATACACTGGTAATCTTTCATTGCTAGGGGTTTAGTGACAGTAATAAATAATAATAGAACGGTCCGTAGGTCATTTGTTCTTCTTTAAAATCTTATAGGTCTGTAGACAAAGTCAGGGGGAGATAAAGTAAGTGGAAAAAGAAGAGTAGAAACCGCGTCGATTGGAGGTGTATTTTGGATAACAAAACAATATTACTCCAGGAAATTGATTTTGAGGTTGGATGGAATGGAAAAATTAATATGTTGAAACTAAAATTTTTTTGCTAAAAGTGAAATCAAGGTACTTAGCAGAGTTTTTCCATGGTACGAGGGATGTTTTTTAAGTTTTGCATATTCAAAGTTTCACAACAATACGTGCAGTGTTCTCACTACAGTGAATTTTAAGTATCACCAAGTTATTAGAAAAATGGAACTCAACCGAGAACATTATCGCGCCATAATTTATTACAACTTCAGAGACAATTATCGCAACAAGAATGCCTTGCTGAGTTACTGCCTGTTTTCGGCGACGAAGCGCCACATCAGTCGACAATTTCCCGTTGGTATCGAAAATTCAAACGTGGACGGGTGAGTCGATCCCAGGGTGGGTGCACCAAAAAACGCAGTCACCCAGGAAAACGTGGATGCTGTGCGCAAACTGATCATTGAAGATAGATATGTGATATATCGCGAGATTGAGGCGTCATTGAAGATCTGAAAGACCTCAATTCAAACAAATTTACATGAAGAATTAGGAGTAAGAAAATTAGTTTCTCGTTGGATACCCCACCTGTTGACTGAAGAGCAGAAAGCAGCCAGGGTTAATTGGTGTTTGGGTGTTCCAAGGTGAAGAAAAGCCAACAAAAGTCATCCGTTCTCGAAGTGTTTCGAAAAAGATGGTCGCGACATTTTTGTCAAAAGCGGGTCATATTGCAACAATTCCTCTTAATGAGCAAAGAACTGTTACTGCGGATTGGTATACCACCATTTGTTTGCCAAAAGGATGCAAGCTCGCACACAGCCCAAAAAACAAGCCAGTATTTAATGGAAGAAAACGTAGAATTATCGGACCATCCTCCATATAGTCCCGATCTAAGTCCTAACGATGTCTTTACTTTCCCGAAAGATTGAATACAAAAAAGCTCTCACGCGTCAGCCACACCTTATTATAGAAAGATCCTTGCTAAATTATTTCTGGTTAATAAAAGAAACTGGTCCTAGGGACTGGTGAAGACTAAAGCTCGATAACGATTATTAGCTACTTGAGTAGTTATGGTCGCAGTGGCATTACGATTTTGCCAGCCTCATCCATCTCAACATTTAGTAAAAATATTGATGAATATCAACAAAAAAATTCATAAGTTCTTATTTTTGGAAACATGTGTTTGAATACCACCATAATTTAACTGATACTGGAAAACACCAAATTAAAAATCAGCCTGCTTAGTCCATGTAAGTTAGATATTTTATGTCAGCCTACACCGATTACTGTTTTATTACTACTAAAATCGTATAAAATTTTCGGTATTAAATTCTTTATGCAATTTTCATTATGGGGATCACACCACATGTGGTCAAGTTCAATTGTACAATTGGTTCAATTTTGATATAATGACCTCTCTCAATCTAAAGATTTAGTTTTCGAATGCTACGTACCGCGCAGTGATACTCAAAGAATCTGGCACGAAATGTTGAATTGTCGAGTTTACTCAAGTTAGTGGTAGTGTATTGTGGAACTAAAATGGTTAGTATGCAATGCAATGCAATTATCTTGGTCATTAATATCTACAATACCTTAAAATTCCTGTTAATTACGCGAAAGATGTAAAATAAATTATTAGAACTCATTAAAAGTATTATCTTTATCTACATAGTAATAAAACTCATGAATTTTGTCGAAAAATAATTTGAAACCATTCACTCAACATTTTGGGTAGTCTTTTGATGTGATTAATAATAAGGTAATAACGCATTCACTTTAAAAATACGTGTATCTGAAGATAATTTTTTGCTAGAGACGAGACAAAATTGAGAATCTATAAAATTATATAACACACGGCAGATATTTTAAACCTGCACCTGCGCGGATGCTTCGATAAAAAAAAGGAAAATTGAGCGCTGATGTTCCAGTTTGCCATGAATCTTCTGGTGAGCTTTGATTGTGGTTTTGATACTTGAACGGAAGTTTCAAAATTTGACATACAGGGTTTGGCCGGAAAGTAATACACAAACACCGATAATGTGACTCGTGTGCGCAAAGTTTTGAACTCAGACCGTCGACTAAGTATTCGTTTAATTGCCCAGATGTTAAATATACCAAAATCTGTGGTTCATGACATTGTGACACAGCATTTGAACATGCGCAAGGTGTGCGCGAAGATGGTCCCAAAAGTGCTCACTGTCGACCAGAAATTGCGGCGAGTGGAAGTGTGCCAAGAAAATTTGAACATGTGTGAAAGTGACCCCCAATTTTTGAATACCGTAATCACAGGTGACGAGTCGTGGATTTTTCAGTATGATCCCGAGACAAAGAGGCAATCTTCCGAGTGGCACACGACGGCGTCTCCTCGCCCAAAAAAGGGAAGAATGAGCAATTCCAAAGTGAAAACGATGCTCATTGTCTTTTTTGACATCAAAGGCATCGTCCACCATGAATTTGTTCCTCTTGGACAAACCGTCAACGCCAAGTTTTACGTGGAAGTGCTCAGGAGACTCCAACGAAGGGTCAGTCGGGTCCGACAAGACATCGCAGCCGACTGAAAGTTGCACCACGACAACGCCCCGGCTCACACCGCCTTTCTTGTGAACAGCTACCTGACCAAGGCCGGCATCCCAACGCTTCCGCAGCCGCCCTACAGCCCGATGAAAGGCAAGCATTTTGAGACGACAGTGGGGATCCAAGCAGCATACACCGCGGCTCTCAAGGCTATTCCAGAGGATGCCTTCCGTGACGCCTTCAATGCTTGGAAATCGCGCTGGCAGCGCTGCATCGACGCAGAAGGAGCCTATTTTGAAAGTTTTTTTAAAGAATTGTAAATGAATTTTTTTAAATCGACTCAGTCCTATTACTTTCCGTACAAACCCTGTATGCTAAATGACCATTTAAAACATGAGCGGCTTTTTGCAGTGTAAGGAGGTTAGAAGTTCTGAGATAAAACAGTTCTAACAATAAGTACTTCAATTTTGATAATATGCGCCCGTGCCAAGTTAGTATCATCTCTTCAGGAATTGGAACTTCGATAACAGGAGGTTGTTGATGTGAACAAAAAATTGGTGCTTAAACATGTCCCTTCGAGATATATTTGAAAGTCTATCAAGATCGCATCAAGATTATGGACGGTAAAACTTTTGACGAAATGTAAGTAGATATGCAACAAGAAATCAATCTTCAATATTTATGATTCGGTGTACTTCAGAAGAATATACTATATCACATTCAAAGAAAATCGGCATTCTGAAAATTGCGGGTTGATTCCATGCAAATCTACGTCCAATTACCGTGCAGTTGCTTGGAGGATTTCGATTCATTGTTTGGTAACAACGGCAAATTCCCAGTCGCCCGGCAACGTGCGACCTTGGGCGGCGTGATGTCAACTCTTAGAATGAATAAGTCGTATAACTGAGAGCAACCGTGCGTCGTTCATATATCGTCGGTGGTCGTTCCCCTACCTTTCGGGGCAATGTATTCCTAGAAGAGTTGCTCCAGGAGTTTTCGGGAGATTTAGTGCAGAAGTATTGCCGTCGTCGATCAGACTCGACTTTAAAGACGAAGTTAACTAAGTGATGGAATGTTGAATCATATGAAGAACCGAGGAATATATTATTTTGTCGAAAAATGACTAAATTCACAAACTTGTTTGACATATAAACAGCTGTCAATTATTATATATAGGTATATATAGGTATATATATATATATATACATATACTAAGTGACATATAAATCCGAACACCCAGTTTAAATGGTTTTATTTTAATAAAATTTTGTATAAGTACTTAATGATAAAAATTTCAAAATGATTGCACTGCTTTAAAGCCTTTGACCTTTAATAATGTGTGGATGCACCCTGATGTGCTACGCATTCTCCAACGCGCCAAGGCATGCTTCTGATCAGGTGTTCAATGTCCCCCTGTGGTATCTCATTCCAGGCAACCACCAACTCCTCTCGAAGTGCTTCTAGAGTCTGAGGAGGACGTTGCAAATTGAGCAATCTCCTACCCATCATATCCCACACGTGCTCAATTGGGGATAAGTCGGGAGATCTTGGTGGCCATGGTAACAATGTGACATCATTATGTTGAAAGAAGTCTATTGTGACTCTTGCAACATGTAGTCGGGCATTATCTTGTTGGAAAGTTGGATCTGCCAGGGTGTCAAGATAGGGTAAAAGATGGGGTTCTAGAACTTCGTGGATATAACGCTGCACGTTCATGTTACCTCTGATGAAGATTAAAGGTGACCTGGAACCATAAGCTATAGCACCCCAAACCATAACTCCAACAGTGTGATGAACATGTCTTTCAACAAAAAACTGTGGATTCCTCCTTTCACCACGTCGCCTTCTAACCCTGGCACGACCATCGTGCATGCCTAAACAAAATCGAGACTCGTCACTAAAGACAATACTGTTCCATTCCTGATCCCAGAGTGACCGTTGTCTGCACCACTCAAGGCGATTACGTCGGTGTTCTCGAGTTAAAGGGAGGACCCAGTGTGGCCGGTATGAAAACAAGCCAAAACTTCTCATTCGTCGGTAAACACTTCGCATGCCAATAGGTCTTCCGTGTTCTGCAAACCATTCATTTGCAATGGACCTGGTAGTGGAGAAACGGTCCCTTAAGGCCAATCATCTTAGGCGGCGATCTTCACGGTCTGTTGTTCTACGGCGGCGTCCAGTGCCCCTTGCTCTTTGCGTACGGCCTTCTCGAAGCCATGCCTGACAACACCTAACCACAGTGTCTACACTTCTTTGCACTCTAACTGCAATTGCCCGAAAAGAATGTCCAGCTTCCCGAAGACCCACTATACGGCCCCTATCAAACTCACTAAGTTGACGAAATCGTACAGGTCTCCGTACTCTAGGCATCGTAACCGATCGTAAAGGATGTCAAGAACCAAAATCCGCCAACGTTGATTCTTTACTGCGGCTGAAATATTTATTTTTAGAGCGTTAGTGAATTAAAAAAAAGCAGTATAAAAACCGGAATGTCCAACTGATAAGGCTGAAAATTTTTTCACTTGTTATTTACAGTAAGATAAATACATTCACCAACTTTTATTAAAATAAAACCATTTAAACTGGGTGTTCGGATTTATATGTCACTTAGTATATATATATATATATATATATATTATTCTTCAGGGAATAGAATCGCTCCCACACTTTGCTCAGTGATTCTACTCCCCCGTTTTCAAGCATAGGGGTCCAGATATTGAATAATTGTTCAGTGATAACAAAAGGGATTCAAGAATCGCATTTTCGTTGCAGTCGGTGTGCCAACCAGCTCCATTCAGCTGCGACCCTGAAGCAGTGCGCAGACGCGAGGAATGTGATTACACGAACCGTATCAGCTATGAAGAAGCCAAGAGTGGAGCAGCACCAAGACCAATCAGAGTATACTCAGATGGGATCTACGATCTCTTCCACCAAGGGCACGCCAGGCAGCTCATGCAGGCGAAGAATCTCTTCCCCAACGTCTATCTGATAGTAGGAGGTAAGCCGTTGGCTTATACTATTTGAAGTACTACTGTCGCATGTATCGTTATTTTTAATCGCTGTAGACATGGTCTTATTGAACGTTCTCTGTATGCTCAGTGGATCTGGTTTTTAAAACCTTTATACAGAGTGTTTTACCGAGAGAAAGAGGTATTTTAACCGAGGATAGAGGCCCCCAAGGGGAATGTAGATAGCATATGGTTGATGGATTTTAGATTCTTTTAATCGATGTACCTGTATTTTATCAATTTTGGTCATTTCTTTATAGCTCCGCAGCTTTTTAATCATCCTATATATTTTCCGAAACTTGGTGTGCATGCTTAACTTACCCTATCGAATCGATTGTGATACCAATAGAAAAAGGAATTCAGGTTCGGACTCACTAAAAACTTACAAATTAGTTCTACCCGAAAACAACACCCTCTATATAAGAATTTCTAGATATCTTTTAGGTGTTTGAAAAGAGCATATTAAGTTGATTCTGTCCGCTTTTGTTCTTCGAGCGGACTATTTTGTATGAGGTAGAGGTAGTGGTTTTGTTCATTTTGGAGTACATGACGGCTGGAATGTCTATTAATTTTATCACTTTATATTTTTTAGTAATGGACTTAGAAAAAGGTCATCTATAGTCAAAATCACGAAAGATGACTATTACGTCATACCATAAATTGTACTGAAGTTATCAATGGACGTACGTACGATGATAAAATCACGATGTCATGAATTTATATTATGATTTTGCGAAGTTAGGTTATTTCACTGATTATTTTTATTTTCATTTTATTTCATGGTTGGTTCATGGTATTTGTGAGTGGGGAATTTTTGTTTTGAAAAAAACAGTTATGAGTAGAATACACCTCACGTCATTAGCACCAAAGACTAAATTATTATACCAAAATAACCTAACCTGCTTTAACATAACCTAACTATTGTCTTTAATACAGACTAAAATGATGACGTAATCGTCATCTTTCGCGATTTCGACTATATAGACTAACAAAAACATATCTCAAGGTCCGTCATACGTCGTTAATGTTTTTCGCGCGTGGGATGTATCAAAAAAAAATTATTTTATGGGCTACAATCTATCTAGCTACAGATCGGCCGTATCCCTCAGCTTTCAGTGTATGTATAGCAAACTCAGATAACGGCGCAGCGGCAGTATGTAAGAAAGAAGATACAAATAGATTCTCTATTATAGATATATCTATAAAATGCCAGCTCATCAATCGCTGGCCACAGAAATGTGTTAGGGAAATTTTACCGATATACTGGACTGTTAAGAACCCCTAATATACAGGGTGTTCCTTAATGATATGCGAATATTTAAGGGTGTGAATCTACATGAAAAATTAATGTTAGTTTGCTTTATAAACTATGGTTCAAAAATGTTTCCTTACAAAAACTCGGGGTGTTGAAGTTTTAGGAAAAAAATGGAAATTAATTAATATTTTCAGAACCGCTTCAGAAATTTCACTGATATCTAGTACGTAGTGAAAGTTAATAAAGTTGCATATTTTTCAATGCAAAAATAATTTTTAGCTTTAACAGTGGCGCGCGTACGGGTATTGACTTCGATATTTTTTAAGAAAAAAATGGTACGCCAATTGTTTTTGAATTCCCCGTTCAATTTAAAACAAATGATCTCTCTTGAATTGTTTTCCTTCCATGCGCCATTTTTGAGTAAAAAAATTTAAACCGTTCTACTGTCCGAGAAAATTAATGTAATAATTGAAGAATGCAATTTAGCAATAAATATCTAGTTGCTCTGGAATATGTCACTGGCTTTTGACATCTGACAAGTCTCTGTTATTCAAACCTGTTCGCTGTCACATCTTTTTCATTATTTAGTTTTTACAATCTTGTTAATAATGGTGAATTATTCAAATGCAGAAATGGCGGAAATGCATTACGTATATGACCTTGCCGACGGTAATGGTGAGCAAGCCAGACGGATTTATCACCAGAGATATCCCGATCGTGCTTTGTCAGATAGTCGAACCTTTTCTAATATTCATCGTCGCCTTGTTGAAACTGGTTCTGTCTGAAAAGGAACATCTGAAGGTAGACCTCTAAGTGTGAGAACACCTGAAATTGAAGAAGCAGTGCTGCACGAAGTCGAAGATCATCCTGAAACGAGTACGAGGAAGATCGCTAGACACTTAAATATTTGCCATCAAATTGTTTGGAGAATTTTAGTGGATTTTTTGTTATATCCTACCATATTTTAAGAGTGCAGACATTACTTCCCATTGATTTTCCAAGGCGTGTGACCTTGTGTCAGTGGTATCTTCAAAAAATTATACAAAATCCGCAATTTGAATCAATGATTCTGTTCGCGGACGAAGCTAATTTTTCTCGAAATGCCATTCAGAATTTCCACAATAATCATTTGTGGGCAGAAGAAAATCCCTATGCCGTAACCGAAACCCATTTCCAACACCAATTTTCGGTTAACGTATGGCAGGAATTATTGGCAACTACTTTATTGGCCCATTCTTCTTGCCGGGACGACTTGACGGACAGTCTTACCTCAATTTTCTTCAACAGTATAGATTTCTTTTTGTGGGGCTATCTTAAGACACTAGTGTACACAAGTCCCATTAACACTAGAGGAATTAAGAGAAAGAATAGTTGCAGCTTGTGATAGAATAAAAAACACTCCAGGGATATTTCAACGAGTGCGCAATTCCATGAGAAGGAGGGCGGAAGCATGTATACTAAGTGAAGGGGGCCATTTTCAACAATTTTTGAAATAATTTCGTTGGTTTGAAGATTAGGGAGACTCCTCATAGCTAGTTATGTTTTCAACGATTTGGGTTCCGTCAGACGTGAACGGGTAACATAAAATGGTCATTCGGGTAACTTATTACATTTCACAGTCCTTAAAGTGTCTACAAGACGAGTACAAACCGAACATATTAAAAGGTTTTGTACATGAGATATTCCCATCCCATTCGTGATGACATGTTTTAACTGTTCCAGTATGCAACGATGACCTAACGCACAGTAAAAAAGGTCGTACCGTGATGACAGAAGACGAGCGATACGAAGCGCTGCGACATTGCCGGTACGTTGACGAGATCGTACGTGACGCGCCGTGGGAGTTGGACGAAGAGTACGTCCTATGGCACAAGATTGACTTCATTGCGCACGACGACATTCCATATGGATCAGATGAGAGCCAGGACGTATATGCTGTTTGGAAGGCGAAAGGGATGTTTGCGGCGACACAAAGGACAGGTGAGATGCAGCACTATATTTTAGTACTAGTAACTGCTTCTTGCCAACCAGATCAATTAAACAGAATTACCCGAATAAGCAAAAAAATCCCCCAGATTTGCAACTTTATAAAAAATTCCCCATATCATGTTTGGGGGGGGGGGGTTGATTTGTTAGATCAACTGGTGTCTTGAGTAACGATTGCATGAATGTAAAACGATAACCAGTATTAGCTATCACTTCGCCATTCGGGAATTGGGAAATCGCAGACCACGGTTGAATGACAGCTGGTTATCTAGTAATACTTGAAAATTCCTTATATCGACACAGGTCACACTTAATTCTGACGGATCCGTCAACGCCAGGTAGACAGAGCAGTATTTTGTTTCGGTTGTTTGTACGCTACTAGATTTATACCCGATTCATTATTGAAGACTAACACAAAAACGTCATTGGCTGATCAGGTATAAATCAACCGGCCAGTTCACAACTTATTATTCTGTTTTTCTGTATATTGATGCATGTCTTGTTTGTTTCTTTGTTTGTTGTAGATTTATTTAGCATTAATGCTACAATGTCAATTTTGTATAATGATTCGGTTACATATTTTTCTTCAATCCATTTTCTGTAATTTTACATTCTAGTCTATTAAAAATAAAATTAAGTCACTATGTATTTTGATTATTCATAAAGTGATTTTTTAATTTCACCTTAAACATTTTTAAATTCGAACTCTGTTTAATATCATTATTCAATTTATTAAATTCAAATACTCCCTTTTGAAATATAGATTTACTAGTTATGCTACTATTACAATTTTTCAGATGAAAATCTATACTGCCTCTAGTTTCGTAGTTATGATAATGACTATTTAATTTTGTGAAGTTCTCTAAATGTGGTGGTAATAAATGATTTTTTAATTTGAATATGAAAACGAGAACTAAATAATATATGAAATTTTTCACATCCAACCACTACAGTTCGTCTAACATAGACTTAATCCTAGCATATTTGTTTTTATTTAAAATGATTCTCATGGCTTTATTTTGTAGAATTTGTAATTTTGAAAATATGTTTTCATTTGCTGTAAACAAAATGGTTGAATAATATAAAAAATGGGGAAGAATTATAGTGTTATACACATGTTAATGTGCTACTAAACAACCCTATTGAACACCTTGAGGTTACAAGGATTCTTTTAGTAAATTTCGACATTGACATCATTTTTGAAGGGAAAATTTCTATTTATAAATGGCCATATTTGATATATTTTCTTTTTAATATTAAAACATTTTCCAAAAATACCTAAGTCACCCAACAACACATTAGCTTTCAGATAATTAACGCCTTAAAACAATGCGTTCTTATAATTTGAGGTTACGTTGTTATCAGTGTCTCGTTGGAATTGTTAACAAAATTCGTTCATTTAGCTTATTTCAAACTCCCCTGAATTTTGAGTAACTATTGTGGCCACATTTGACTAAAAATTTCTTGCGCACAGATTTTTCGTTCACTTGTGACCAAAAATCTAATTTCGAAATCATTGTGTTATAATCACTATCACAAATGGATGTAATTTCTTTGTCACACTTGGCTATAAATCTTATTTCAGTAGTATCCATCATGCTTTGACGTCTACATAGATAAACAGCTGATCAGCAAGTGGCTCTAATGAATCTGGTGTAAATCTAGCAAAAATTTGTTTGTAGCGTTTTTTTTTTGTATGCAAATGAACTTGTCTAAATGAAAGAGCTTTTAGCAAGTACAAAATGAATCTGTAGCGTACAAAAAACCAAAACAAAAGATGGCTCTGTCCACCTGGCATTGACGGATCCGTCAGAATTATTGTCGTTTGCCGAGATGGGGATTTTTTTAATATTACCAGATAACCAGCTGTCATTGTACCGTAATGGATATTCGTGAAATAGGGTGTAGACAAGTGCATCACCAGCTAATCTTATTTTTAACCAATAGGTTACCAACTGTATGTATGAGCAATAAAGAGCGACATAGTATGTTTTCTTTATTGTTAAATTTAGGTCAGACTCATGTGATTTTATAGGACAAAATTACTACCATTTCACCACAAGATGACCTAAACATGTAGTTGTTTATATCCTCAGACCTATTAAGCAATGCCTCATCGACCTTTGGGAAAAAGACAAACGCAAATACATATAACTTTTTTAAAATTGGTCATGCAACCTTTTAACCTATCTTGTTGCCGAATTAAAGTATTTATAACTTAAGATGTTTGTTGGGATATGGCAACCTTGCTGTTTTCTGTCCACCATCCCGTCAAACAATCGTAGACGACATTGTTTCGCTCTTATTGTATCTGCTTATTACGACAGAGATATAAGCTGGATGATAAAAGTACTATAGTGAGCAAATCTGTTTTGAAGACATGGTTACCTAGCCGCCAAAATTTTTGAAAGGCCTTATACCAGAAATAACAATTACGTTTTCAAAATGAGAAAGTCAATTCACTTAAAATAGTATTTTCGGTATCTAGGGCGAACATGAATGACAGTAAATTGACACAAAAAAATATATATCTAAAAATTGCAGCTCCATTTGCAGAAATAAACATCACTGGTTAAGCACTGCATATTTTATGGTATCATTATTGATATCGAATCCTTGGCAATAAGTGTCAAACACATCACACATCCTTTCAACAGGAGACATGTTCGATATGTTGGTTCTACCCCTAGCGATGTAAACAGTTGCATTAGATCGAGTTGGCACCACAAAATTGATTTTAGTTACAAATTCCAGACAATCAAGCTTCTTCCAGGATATATGCCATAAAATGGATGTATTTCAGGGTTTTGATAAATTGGCGACCAAACCACTGCAGCATTTTCCAGTTTACTTCTAATAAAAGATGTATAAATTGTTTTAAGGCTGTTCACATAAGCAAAACCTGACCAGTTTCTGACAGTATCCTAATATTTTGCTTGTTGAAGAGACCGTTTCACTTATATGGTAAGAGAACGTCAATTTACTGTTAAATATTGCCCCTAGATCTTTGAATGTCTGACATCTCTCAAGATATAGATGTAGTAAGGAAACAGGATAGGATGAAGCTTGCGGTAAAGCTCAACATTTAACATTTTGCTATGTTTATATTGAGTTTGTTGCCAACGCACTATTTACTCAACCTATTCAGGTCTTGCTGCAATTTCATACAGTCACTGTAATTTTAAATTTCACCTAATATCCTCAAATCGGCTGCGAAAAATAGCATCAATTTAGATAGCTCCAGGGCCTTAATATACATGTATACATATGAATAATAGGGGCCCTAGATTTGATCCCTGAGGCACCACTGAAGTAGAATATCCGGACTAGATGACGCACACATCGTTCCTACTTAACTGAATTACTTTCTTGATGCCAATTAACAAAGTTGCTCAAACGTATATTTATTTACAGAGGGTATATCCACATCTGACATAGTCGCCCGTATAGTACGCGACTATGACATATACGTCAGGCGGAACCTGGCCAGAGGATACTCAGCCAAAGATCTGAACATTTCGTATCTGAGCGAAAAGAAAATCCGGTTGCAGAACAAGATGCACGAATTAAAGGACAAAGGGCGGCGTGTGATGGACTCGATAGGGGAACGTAAGGATGATATGATAGCCAAATGGGAGGAGAAGTCTCGGGAGTTTATCGAGAATTTCCTGTTGCTGTTTGGCAGGGAACGGTTATCGAATATATGGAACGAAAGTAAAGGTAAGTTGATGGTCTGATTAAAAAAAACAAGAGGCAAAATAAGGAAGGATAGTTTTATTTGAGCAAATTTTATTGATCGAAGTTGAGTCATTTTCGGACAAATTCCTCCATGTTCGTACTTCTAAAACAATGCCGAAACCTACTTCAGAGCCAACAATCATCGGATAATTACAAAACCAAAGTAGAATCAAGAAAAATACGGCGTGGAGTGGAGTCTAGACAGAATTACATTCTTGATACACTACTGCAAAAAATTGAGGGATCAAGTAAACATTATATGTACATTTTTAGCGAATCTTTGAAGTGACGTATCTCAATAACAAATGATAGTAATGATGTTCTAAGAGAAGTATATGAAACCTTCAAGTGTCTGGTTTTATCATCTTTTAGTAAACAATTTTTTGAAGCTGCAGGATCAACGCAATCTTAGGACATAACGTGAAGAAAAAAATTAGCGATTTTTTTTATTTTTACTTTGGTCCATCACATGAAAAATTTAAATTATTTTATGCATTCTTATAGTTTCTTTACTTCCAGTACACGAGCGAAGGAAGCTTTGTGAACTCTAATAGACACTACATTATAATATCTATTATTATGATTAGGAATTTAAAAAGTGTTAAGTAATAAGACGAATGTGAGTCGTGCCTTTTGTTGCATTTTCGTACTTTTTGAGTATCTCACAGTGACATAACAGATTTTATGTATGCGTGCTATGCCACTGACACCTGATACTTCCTAAAGCTATTCTGATGTCGCGTCGGGATATATGTAATTTGAAAACATGTTGTAACGAAAACGCCGGTCTTACTACGCAAAGTCTAATTTATAACATTTGCAACTAACTTATTACAAATTTATAACCATGTCGACTGGACTATGTTGACACGACGATCGCTGCCCGTTGACTGCCTTCCTTCTGCCATCTCTGCCTATATTTCCCCTAAGAAGGAGTCGAGGTCCACCGGTGTTCCAGACCGAGTCGTGAAACTTCTTGGAAGTGGTCTAGATGGCAGTAGGTTCATCTCAATGTCACCAAACGCTCTCGAACGTGACCCGATCGCTCTCGGTACACACTCGCATAAGTGGTTGCCTAAGCGTCGATCACCTGTCGAATCTTCTGGTCGATGTATGGTATATCTGAAGTCACTTGAAACACTGTGAAATACCGGGTGCGTTTTATATATCTATATTTAACACGCTCTGTTGCTGCAAAAATCGCCAAATTTCGCAGCAAATATCCCCCGTATAAGATCAAAGGCAGTTTCACCGGTCCACGTAGAGTAAAGCACGCCTATGCGTGGACATAGCCAATGAGAAAGCGTGTATTTCAGAGCTCCGAATAAGTGCAGGTGGCTACTGAAAATTGAAACAGTTTAGCCAGTGCCGTGTAGCGGTGAATAAACGTGTTTTCTTTAGTCTGTCCGTGTTTTTTCATAGATTTTATTAGTTTGTGTGTTTTTGACTTTTGAATACTCAGTTTACTTGTTGATTTAATTGTTGTGTTGATTGTTCTTGTGTGTCCTAAATATGGCTCTTTGGAGACCTTGGGAAAATGCTCCAAGCCACGAGGAGATGGTTGATGAACCTGTGCAGGCAGAATTCTTCCATAAAGATTTAGTGGAACAGACCCAAAGAGTAATCCTAAATATGTATGATTGTCTGAAAAACAAAAATCCAGATTCCTCGCAAAATCAAATTTTAAACAGAATTTGTATCCTGACAAAAATCAGTCGGTCTACCATTTATCGGGTTATAAAAAGGGGAGATGTAGTCAACCATTCCTTCCACAGAAAGCGCATAGGGCAAAAATTAAAAAGGATAGACGTGGGTTTTCAGAAAGATATTCGTCGTATAATATACGGATTTTATAAAGAAAATTTGGTGCCCACGTTGGAAATGATACGGGATAAATTAAAAGATTATCCTGAAGATTTTTATAATTACAAATGCTTAGACTCACTGTACTGTATTGTAAAACTGTGTGGTTTTCAATACAAAAAATTAGATAAAAGAATGGTGATTATGGAGTCGTCTCGAATCGTTGAATTGCGCCAAGAATTTTTGCACAAAGTTAAAATCTATAGAGAGCAGAAAAGAAATCTGATTTACCTGGATGAAACGTGGTATGATACCCATGATGTTGTGCAGTACGGCTTGGTTGACGACAGCAACAAGTGCATTTTAAATGCACCTTGCAACCGTGGAAAACGAATCATTATTCTCCATGCTGGCAGTGAAAATGGATTTATACCTAATGCCTTGCTGTTATCTGCCAAAAATATCAAAGAATCATGTGTCGACTATCATGAGGACATGACCTTCGACTTATTTGAAAAGTGGATAGAGCAGCAGTTAATACCAAACATTTCCCCAAATTCAGTGATTATTATGGACAATGCGCCATACCATTCCCGACAGAAAAACAAAATTCCGAATACAGGCACAAAAAAACAAGACATTATTGATTTTATGAAGGATAAGGGAATGGAAATACCACAAAAATCAACCAAAGCCATATTATTGGATCTTATTAAAAGACAAAAATTTGAAAAAGAGTATGTTGTTGACAATCTGCTTCAGCAAAATGGCCATGAAGTATTACGTCTACCTCCCTATTACTGCATTTTTAACCCGATTGAGTTGGTCTGGGCTGCTTTAAAAAAAAGTAAGAAAACATGATCAGACCCCTCAATTAAGTGAATCGCGATTGGCCACAATAAGAGATGCAGTATCTCATATTGCTGCCACAGACCTATGGAAGCAGTGTTCTAGGCATATTATTGAAAAAGAAAATGAATATTGTGTTTTGCCTCCTGTAAATCCCGTTGTAATTCCTCTACAAGATGACTCTAGCGACACCTCCGAAGGCGAGGATGATATATAAATACCTATAATGTAAGTCTTTATATACCTACTTGCTATGTAAATATTTGCCTATGTCAAACGTTGGAATTCTGTAATTTTTCCATTTCTTAACTTTCAGTCAACATAAATTAAACTCCCAATATAAGTATTTTTTATCCTAAATCAAAAAAATAAGAAGATAGTAAAATCCATTTATTGTGATATAAAAACATTATTATTATCGTTCTAAATAAACGACCGCACGCCTATGATACGTCATGAAATTACAAAGGACGCGCCGACCAAAGGTTTTTATGCTATTTCAAGTGACTTCAGATAAAGCATACGAGTATGTGACATGTTGCTATAGTGTGCTGTAGATTTATTTCTCCGAATAATACTTCGTCAACGCTACTACTCTGATACATGATTTATCCCTAGACTGTATTATTCCTTAGGTCGCATTCTGAATGCCTTGAGCCCACCTACCTCTCCATTTCCACCAAGCAGTCCAACGTCCAGCAATGGCAACTTCGACTTTCCATCGCCAGATGAAGAGTCGATACCTCCAGCCACGAAAACGCCCAGGTACGAATCGCCCACGCCATCCTCCTCCTCAAAAAACTACTATAGCGTCGAGGAATACAGCGACGAAGAAGACGATTTGCCAACCAACGGAGTCGAACACCATTAGGTTACTCCGGAATATTGTGTTCACACGCAGCTTATAGATAGATGGTGATAGTCCTAGATCCCAGTATAAAACATTACAATGATTTTGAGGAAATTATAGTACGTTACTAAAATGATTTGGTTAGTTTCATATATTCCATGTACAACTATGTACCATGATACTTCAACATTCTCACGTATATTTGAGAAAAACAGCTGATCAGCAAGTGCGCCGCTTGTCTTAAATTTGTTTAAATAAACTTTTTAAAATACAGCAAACAATTTCAAAGGAAGCCACGGCGAGCAAAACAAAACATGTATGTCATGTCGAACAGAGCGAAAACCATGCGTAAATACCAGCTGATCTCTCTCAACAAACACGTGATTTGTAGGCTCTCCCTTTCATCGGTTGAATTGGGATCGGCAACGGCAGAAAGTCAAAACTAATGTTATAGTCTAGTCATATTAGACGAAAATACCCCTGGTTTGCGATATAATTGTAAAGTCTGGTTTTATTGCTGCAAGTTGTTCAAGGGGGTATTCAAAACATGGACGCATAAAATGGGTACATTTTTGTAGGAAAACTTTTTATTCGACAACAAAGAATGAGAAAACGTGTTTTTTGGAATTCAATTTTGGCGGGAACGAAAAAACTCTTCATGTAAGATTTTTAGGTATTTATGAGACCTACAAAATGAGACCACACGTAAAAAGATCGGACTAATAGCAAAAAAGTTATGGCCGAAAACCATCGTCGCATTACCAACAAGTGCCAAAACCTGCAATTAGCCTCGGTTTTCGGCAATAACTTTTTTGCTATTAGTCGGATCTTTTTACGTGTGATCTCATTTTATAGGTCTCGTGAATACCTAAAAATCTTAAATGAAGAGTTTTTTCGTTCCTGCCAACCCTTTCGATTGAATCCCAAAAAACACGTTTTCTCATTCTTTGTTGTCGAATTAAAAGTTTTCCCACTAAAATTGGTGTACCCATTTTATGTGTCCATGTTTTGAATACCTCCTTAAACAACTTCCAGCAAGAAAGCTAGACTTACAATTATTTCGCAAACCAGGGGTTTTTTGGTCTAATATGATTGGATTAAAAAAACTACATGTTTTAAATATGTTTGAATCATTGAAATAATTTATATTGGGATCTTGGAAAAGGGCTTTTATGTGATGATACGCTTGAAAGGAGGTGCAAGGTAAAGTTTTTCATTGAATGGTGGTAAAAGTGCCAGCACTGATTTTTATTGAAACTAATTAGGCGCAAATAACAAATTGCCATCAATGTCTGATCCCCGAGTTTGTTCAGTGAATAATTTTTCTTTGCACCAATAATAACAATCGTCTGTATAAACTGTTATTTATAAATTATTTGCGATATAAACATGGACTTTTTAGCACAATTTCTTTATTGTGGTTTTTGTCACTCGTGATATACATATATACATTATTTATATTCTATTTGTATGTTTGTTCCTTTTCAAGTATTATTTATATATTTATTTCATTGTATTTAATACCATTATTGAATATGAATATGTGGAACTGAATAAAAAAGGTGCATGAATCTTTTATAAAACAAATTACACTAATTTGACGTTATGATTATAAAATTTTGAAATGAAGTATTTTTCATATTATATACACGTTAGCAGTTTATAGCATAAAGAAGGTGGGTATGATCACATCAAGATAACAATATTATCAAATTTATTTTGAATCTCCATTTTGTACGTTGATCTTGTACTACAGTCGAATAAGATTCAGATTTGAAAAAGTTTTAGTTATGGTGTATTTTTTTAAACCACCTTTGTATTGTTTTATTATTCTTAATAGCTACTTACAAGCCTTGTGTGTTGCAAGCCTGAGAAATTGCGAATGCTGCGCAGATTGTTGTTTATTCGGCATGCTTTACAATATTTACGAAAATTGGGAATTTGTAAAAGTATACGATGAGGTTATTGAAATTTTGTACGCATTAAAAAAACTTTTTACAGTCCGCAAGACCATTGCATGCAATCTGCAGTTTAAATGAATGAAATGTACCCTGCCAGATTCCTAACCTATAAATTTTGTTTTTTAGCCTTCAAAACACATTTTTTAATATCCAAAAACGAGCTTGGTTAGCCATCCCTTAACGAATGAAATATACCCTGCCACATTCCTAACCTATAATTTTGGTTTTATAGCCTTCAGAACACATTTTTTAATATCCAAAAACGAGCTAGGTTAGCCAACTCTTAACGAATGAAATATACCCAGCCACATTCCTAACCTATAATTTTGTTTTTTTAGCTTTCAGAACACATTTTTTAATATCCAAAAACGAGCAAGGTTAGCCAACCCGTAACGAATGAAATATACCCTACCACATTCCTAACCTATAATTTTTGTTTTTTAGCCTTCAGAACACATTTTCTAATACCCAAAAACGAGCAAGGTTAGCTAACACTAAACGAATGAAATATAGCCTGTCACATTCCTAACCTATAATTTTGTTTTTTAGCCTTCAGAACACATTTTTTTAATAACCAAAATCAAACAATCAAACGTATATCTGTAAACAATAATACCCTATTTCACGAGTATCCATCACGCTTTGACGTCTACTAAGGTGAACAGCTGATCAGCAAGTGACATTTTTGTGTCGGTCTGCAACGTTGGCAATAATGAATCGGGTATAAATCTAGTAAAACTTGTTTGTAGCCTTTTGTTTTTTGTATGCAAATGAACTTTTCTAAATAAAACAGCCTTTAGCGAGTACAAAATGAATCTGTAACGTACAAAAAACCAAAACAAAATACGGCTCTGTCTACCTGGCGGTTGACGGATCCGTCAGAATTATGTGTTCTGTGGCTATATGGTGAATTTTGAAGTATCACTAGATAACCAGCTGTTATTGTTCTGTAACTATAAGTATAACCACACGAACGCCGGCCTGGCCTAGGGACATTTGCGCATTGATAACTTTCTAACCATTCCACCAGAAATGCATACTTGCATGAAAAGTACGACTGATTGATTTTCATACAAGAAAATGACAGGAAGAATCAGCTGTTTTATTAGAGCGGATGCGACTGATCATTTATCTTGCTCTTGCAGACTGTAAAACGAGTATAGAGGATTCGAACAAAGTAGAAATCTATTTGCGACTTTGTTTCTCCGTTCATGTACTCTTGCCTTTTACAATGCGCTACTGGCATGTTCCAGATTTTTACAGCGCTTTCAGTATGAGATAGCGCGAAGCGCCATTTATTGCACCAGAATCGACATTGTGGATCGCGCACCGCTGCTATTAGTCGGAACTGTGATGGATCTCAGTTCGCGTTTAATAGCCGTGTCGCTAGGTGGCTGGTGATTCTGGCTGAAAGTAGAAGTGGTCTACTTGCCATTGAACCGATTACACAAGATACTTTCGACCAAGAAAAGAAGACAGCCAACCACGGACAGCTGTTTCGTGCTTCTTAGCATGGTATAGGCTTCCAGTTCCAACCGATAGCAGCGGTGCGCGATCCACAATGGTCGATTCTGGTGCGATAGATGGCGCTTCGCGGTGTCTCATGTTGACAAACCGTACCTCCGGTTTAGAGGATCATTGTGATGCATTCGTCTGTTCGCCCAGTGTTAAAAGACCAAGCCTATACTATGCTGATGACTAGCCAAGAAGCACGAAACAGCTGTCCATGGTTGGCTGTCTTCTTTTTTGGAACGAAAGCATCATGTTTAAGCGCTTTCAGTGCCTCGGCAAAATATTTGAGTATGCGTGAATACGGAATATCAGAGTTGTACGCTTGATTTCCATTAAGATAAAAAAATCTGTTAGATTGTAGTAACATGTCCTCCTATAGGAGACAAAGTGAAGTCCTTGAAAAATCCTAACATTGTTTCCTCTAAAAATACACAATTGGCTAATGTTTTGTTGATCTTTTAAGCATTTAAAGTGGACAGTAATATTGACACTGGATAAGTATAGTATATTGTTTAACACAGAACATTACTTATAGAGACAAACAGCTGCCGTGCTTCTTGAATATAATCGTATGAAATGAAAGTTGTTCAAAGTTTCAAATTCATTTATTGAATGTTGAATGGATTATTGTCCAAAGAGGTCGTACTGAAGAATTTTGTACATTCGTTCTTAAACAAGTATGTAATACTGTAAATCTGATATTTTCGAGAACCTAGTGGTATTTTAGTCTCTTTTTAGCAAACTTGTCTACTCGTATATTATGAACAGATTTCATTGAATTCCTATTTTTGTAGATATTCATAGTTCATAAAAATGATTATATACCGAAACAGTCCTTTTTATTAGCCCTATAAGTCCTTAATATAAAATCACAATATAAACTCAAACACCACAAAAAGAACAAATTAGATCCATTTCAAACGTATATGTTTACATCTATCACAAAAGTTGGCGAATTTGTTTTTATCTCAGCCGAAGTTGCCACTACACACGCCGATTTGGTGTCATGCCTCGGGTTAGAAATGTTGGTCGACATCACGTCAGTTCCTACTGACACAAGACCATTGTCAAGTATACAGGGTGTCCGCAAAGTTGGGGTTTTCGTGTCTTAAGAGAACCGATATTGGGCTCAATCAAACCTGAACCAAACCGAAGCCGGTCCTGTCCTATCACTCGATCACGTCCACTGCGCGAACACAGTTATACGACGTGCGACGAAGATGTAAACACGGATTTTACGACAGAGCCGTACTTGGAATTTCAATTCAACTGAACAGTGAGTACTTTTTAATTTTTTTTACTTGTTCTCTCACGTTTCACCATACATTAGCTTTGTTATATCAATCGTAGTTGTGTCAGAAAAGGAAAACCCCAACTTTGCCGACATCAACTTAAAAAATTAACATTTATTTACTTTATGCTTCATTAAAAAAAGACTATTGGATTAGCCAAGATGGAGATGGAAATAACGTCCCGCAAATCCAGTCATCTTACCTATAACTGAGGATTATGGGTATCAAAACTGACGTTGAAATAGATCTTGCAAGAACAGTTTAATATTAATCAGTGCAACTTTCCTAACTCCATCTTCTTTTGTATCAATTTAATCGAATGGAACAATAACGAATCTATGAGTCCAGCCACAGTATATACACCACCGATAATCGCACACAAGTTCGTCATAAAATGTCCGAAAGATCGTTCTTTTTCGGTGAACTTCACCATTAACGGTGATAGTTCATACTGGAAGAAAATGCCGGGCATGCCAGATTCTCCGCTGGCCATTGATATCATTTTTTGATGCTTCGTCACTGAGAATTGGTTTGTGTTGATCACTGAGCCGTCTTTCTTCACGTAAGACGTTGGAACTATTTTAATGTAATACTGGAACATTGTTGAACCTGAAACAACATTCAGTATCTTAGAGATTTTTAAGTCTTATGATATATTCCATATTGCACAGTCCAAACACTAGTTGCTACTATCTAAACGCTATAGCAACGTTGAAGGAAAAATAAATTTGCCTGCGCTCAAACTCTGGGTCCGTCCCTGTATACGAGGGATGTCTTTTAAGTTTTGCATATCGAAACATAGTAGGTCGCGCGGATCGAGCGTCAGTACTGAATCTTAACCTCACTCTTTAGTAAACTTAAATTCGAAGTTTCACAACAATACGTGCAGTGTTCTCACTACAGTGAATTAGAAAAATGGAACTCAACCGAGAACATTTTCGCGCCATAATTTATTACAACTTTCAGAGACAATTATCGCAACAAGAATGCATTGCTGAGTTACTGTCTGTTTTCGGCAACGAAGCGCCACATGAGTCGACACTTTCCCGTTGGTATGGAGAATTCAAACGTGGACGGGTGAGTCTTAGCGACGATCCCAGGGTGGCAGTCACCCAGGAAAACGTCGATGCTGTGGGCAAACTCATCACTGAAGATAGACATGTGACATATCGCGAGATTGAGGCGTCCTTGAAGATCTCAAAGACCTCAATTCAAAAAAATTTACATGAAGAATTAAGAGTAAGAAAATTAGTTTCTCTGTTTGCCAAAAGTCATCACCGAGCTTCGAAAAATCAACCCCGAAAGAAGAATCATCCTCCACCAAGACAATGCCAGCTCGCACACAGCCCAAAAAACAAAGTAGTATTTTATGGAACAAAACATGGAATTATTGGACCATCCTCCATATAGTCCCGATCTAAGTCCTAACGATTTCTTTACTTTCCCGAAAATTAAAAACAGACTGCGCGGTCAAAGGTTCCAGTCACCAGAAGAAGCAGTTGACGCATTCAAAAATGCCGTTTTCTATCTGTCAGCAAACGAGTGGAATAAGTGCTTCGAAAATTGGTTCGAGCGCATGCAGATGTGTATTAATCTTCGTGGAGAATACTTCGAAAAATAATAAAGTCATTTAAAACTACCTACCGTGTTGTTTTATTTCCATATGCAAAACTTAAAAACGTGCAGACGTGCATCCGTAGCAGTTTGCCTTCTATGCTCGTCTGCTCTTAGTTTTTACTGTTCTATGTCAACCGTTACGTCAAAATGTCAAAGATCTGCTAAAAATTGTATGTTTTGAGGTTTTATTGATTGGAAGACTTTTTGGAAAATTTTTGGTTGCCAACCCATATTTGAAAAGCAAAACGAATACCTCAAAATCTGCAGATATTGACTAAAGACAGTGTTAACATCTTAACATAACACTTTACTTTTATATAAATTCTGGTTCGTCAATCAAGGTAAGTTAAAAGGTCAAAAATGAGGTTAAGGGAAAAAATGCGATTTACGTGATGAACCCAATTTTAGGAGAAATGCCGGCTGTACCGGGTGGAGTGTACCAAAGTCAGGGGCCATCATGCATGGATCGAATAAAAATGGGGTTCTTCCTCGGTTTCTGTGTTGGCATGGCCAGTGGAGCATTATTTGGAGGTTTTTCGGCATTAAGGTAAAGTATTCCTTTTCCTGTTTATGCTAAGCAAGTAATTTGTTAAGACATCTGATGTTAGTTCAGGGAATAAATATTCAAAAATATTTTTCATCGCATCCATTTTTCTGTTACTAGAAGATATATTACTACTACTATGCTTAAACATGTTCCCAATTAACTTCTTTTTTCTCACGAGTATTAAACAAAATAGTGCTAACTTCACAGCTTTTTACCATTTGAAGAAAATTTATAATTATATAATTTTGCATATTATGTAATTTAATTATTGGAAACACAAAAAAGTATTTTATTAATTTATTACGTAAGCATGTGATCCAAATGGTGACTACTTTGATGTTAAGTTCAACATTCATAGTATAATTACAAAAAGTACTACAATTAATGACAGTTAACTGCATTAATTTCTTGTCTATTTAAATATGTACTTTGTAAATAGAACTAAGTATAACCATTGCTTAATGTATTTGACTAGAAGATAGCCAACATAATATTATATTCCCACATCCAGAAAATCATTCCATATAAAATGAGATACTGTAGTATCATCTATGAGAATTTGTCACCGCTGTCTTTTATTTAGAACATATACTTTTAAAAGCTTAGTGTCTCATATATGATGCTACCTATATGCTTGTATATGCTTATATAGTTAGCATCAGCACTACTTATGGGACACTAACCTTTGAAAAGTATATATATATATATACACAGGGTGTTCCATAATTATTGCGACAAAATGATAGGGGTTGTAGAGGGCATAAAAATATGCAATTTTGCCTTATAAACCCCTGTTCGTAAATATGCCGTTTGAGCACTACAGTTAATTTTACCTTAAGAGCTCATAGGAGAAACAAAAAATTCACCAGCTGCAAAATGTTCGTCTAGCACATTTCATGGTCTCGCCGGTTTGTAGAAAAAGCCTGCTGTGTTTACATTTTTGTTATCGTACACCCGTACCACCTTTTAAAAGTCCAAGCCATGGGTCCAGCAGACTATCTGCCGCGTCGACGTTTTTGTCGTTGGTGGCTGCAGCAGGAGTTGAGGCAACCAAACTTTGGTCGCTACGTTTTGTTCACTGACGAGTCCTGTTTTACAAAGGACGGTTATTTTAATAGCCGTAACAGTCACATTTGGGATGAAGAAAACCCTCATGCCATAGCCATCCATAGAGACCAACATCAGTTTTCAATTAACATCTGGTGCGGCATTGTGGACGAGCATATCATCGGGCCATATCTGCTTCCACCACGTTTGGATGGGCATGCTTATGGTCGATCCTTACAGCATGTGCTACCGGAACTATTAGAAAATGTGCCACTGAATATAAGAGCCAACAAGTGCGGCAGTATTTGGACGACAAATTTCCAAATAGGTGGATAGGCCGAGGTGGCCCTGTGCCTTGGCCTGCGCGGTCACTTGACCTGACTCCACTGGATTATTTTATCTGGAGCTATCTGAAAGCTTTAGTGTACGAAACTCCTGTTCCCAACCAACAAGAGCTACTGGGAAGAGTGATGGCCGCGTCCGCACATGTTCAGGACATACCGGGGGTATGCCACAGAGTTCGCCGATCATTGAACAATCGTGCACAGGTGTGTATTGAGCTAGGTGGAGGACACTTTGAGCAATTACTGTAGGTAAGCTGTTTCAAGAAACTGATCTTTTTTTTTGCTGCAGCCCAAACGGCATGTTTCCGAACAGGGGTTTATAAGGAAAAATTGTTCATTTTGATGCCCTCTACAACCCCTATCATTTTGTCGCAATAATTATGGAACACCCTGTATATATATATATAGTAAATAGAGAATCAGCTGTGGCAAATTCTCATAAATTGCTATGGTATCTTATTTTATCTCAATTTTTTGGATCTGGAAATATACCATTAGGCTGGCTATCTTCAGTAGAATATGCTAATAAAAGATATAACTAATTCTTTCATATTTTTTAAAAAACTGTTTTTACAGCTACTTATTTTCAACATTTCAAGAAGTTTGAAGAGATCTTAATAATTAACTCAATGAGCCATAAGTATTATAGTGTATATGAAGTTCCTATGATTTGGTCATTATATAGCTATTTTCATTCATAAAACTTTGTAGTAACATAGCCTTTGTTGGTTTGACCATAGACAGCCAACCATTGACAACAATTTTGTGCTCTTTGGCAACAATCTAATGATAAAGGTAGAAGAACATATCAAGCTATAATTTATGTAAGTTTGAGGAGTAACATTTTATTAACAAATTGATTTGACCACTGACTAATTATATAGTTTCTCTAGTTAGGAATAGCTGGACTATTAAAATAATATCTAAGTAATTAGTTATTTTACTGTTACTTGCAAAACACATTACGTAGGCTGAAGATATAATGTCATTCAAGATTTGTACAAAAAGAATACTTTTTCTTTAATGTTAATGCCAAAACACATTAAAAAATGTTTGCCATCCAACATTTGTAAAAAAAATTCATGTTAGCAACTATAAGACTATAAGGGGCCTGTACAAAATTTATTGTTTTTCTATTTACTTAGTGGACATAAAACCTGGAACTCATCCTGCAATTATGGTCTCTTTGATTAATACCTCTATGCTATATATGAAGTTATAATGTACATAGGAAAAGGTGGATGTGCTAGCTAGTTTGTCGAAAATTTTTAGGCCTAATATCAATAGTATTTAGATGCCACCTACTTGTGATGGTGGCTGAAGGAACATGGCATGCTGCAGTGTATGAAATGAGTCTAACTTATTAGAATAACATTTTTAGAGACACTGGAGGACCTGGTTGTCCTATTCACCAGTACCTTTCAGTTTTAAGTTTTCAGACAATGACTGGGTGAAACATTTCTTTAGTAGTTCTGACATAGGTGTTACCTATTCAGACTGAGTGATAAAATTGTGACCATATTCTAAATCTGATTCATGGCCTCTCACCATGAAAAACTAGCTTTTTAAGATGTCCAAATAAACTGTTACAGAATTCTGAAGATATTTTGCATTTTACAAGTGTTATTTGGTTACAGGGGTGGTTTAAGGGGTAAGGAACTAGTGAACACAGTTGGTAAAGTGATGATGCAGGGTGGTGGATCATTCGGCACATTCCTAGCAATTGGATCTGGTCTGAGGTGCTGACCTTTGATGAAAGTAAAACTGTTAATATTCCGATTGAGTGTATATCTATGCATAATGCTGATTGCATATGTTTCATTGTTTTCATCTATACTACCATTTTAATAAATTATTAGTTGTAAGATTTGTTATATCTGTAGTCCATATATTTTACTAGATGTGAACTTTATTTTGTGATTTGTTTACCTTATTACCCTGTGTAAATCAAGTTATATAAAAAACGATAACGTGTTATAGCAGTTTCATTGAGGTAGCATTTGTGTTTGTTCACAATTTATAGAAATGTTTGAAATTTTTCTATGTTCAAGGCATTGTATTGATATATGTTTCTGGGAGATTTAAATGAACTCCACCCTTTTATTACTGAGAAGTCCCTATATCAGTTACATGAGAAACTTGATGTTTTCTGTATCATTCCAATGTTCATTAGAAACAAATGTTAAAAAATGATCATATGAAACTTGAAGGGCATAAAATGTGACCTCAAGATTTGATAGCAGCCGCCGTCTCGCTTTTGAAATATCTAGCTCTAAAATGAATAAAAGCGTGATTTTTCTCATATTGATGTTTACTCTTATTTCATTATTAAAAAAAAAAACAGACATACTATATTATTAATATTTAGTGGTCTATTAAGGGTTTGAAATATTTACCAAGAAGCCTGTAATGTATGGTTGTCTGAAAAACTGTTTGTGAGAAATTTATCAGCGGCTATCGTGCATGTTTATTAACGTAAGTGACACTGTGTCTGGGATCTGCAGAGGTATTATGTAACTTGAAAAGTGACACTATGTCGTTATTTTGACATTATGTAGGTTTCCCTACTTGCACACTAGTCTTTTTAGTTAACAAGTTAACATTTTATTTATTTTTTTACATTATGGGAAAGGGGGAAAGTTCACATTTCAAATTGGAATTGCGCGGCAACCGTATACGCGAAGTGGGGAGAGGTCTTGATCGATGCGTTCGGCGTGCGGGTTAAATAATCACGGAACGTTGGACCGGACCGCAACGTGCTTTTGCTATCGAGGCTTACTTTAACAGTGGTGATTCATACGCAGTAAGAACCTGTTGAAAAAGTGGATTAAAAGATTCTGTGAAACAGGCTCTACTCTTAGTTAACCAATTCCTGGCCCAACACCTACTGTATCAACCGAAATCCTCGGCGTTTACGGGAAATAGGGCAATTCTTGATAGTTTTGTGAATAATATACAAAAATCCAAGTCGTGTACTTTTCAAGTTATAGGCTTACAAAAATCTTAAAAATCTACATCCTGTGATAATCTCTTATTTTACAAATTTCAAATTTTTCTTAGGAGGAGTGACGTACAGTGTCATTCTACATAGTGACAGCAAGACAAGCATCGCCACTTTTATTAGTTCCATCTAGCAGCAAACTTTTTTTCACCGTTCCCCCAGTAAAAAAATTCGAGTGAATTTAAGTCATGTGAACGACCTGACACGAAATTGTACCAGACCGCCCTATCCATCTGGTCGAGTATTCTGCATCAAGATATTCTCTAAATGAACGGGAATACTGTGCCGGGCACCGTCTTGCTGGTACCACATGTCTCTGTAAAAGCTTAGTGGTAAATGATTTTGTGAAAAAGTCCAAATAAATTTCGCCATTCCAGAACTCTGGTAGCTCAAATGGCACAATAATTCTCCCATTTAGAATCCCGGTCCCCATGTTTACTTAAAAATGATACTGTGACCTATCTTGTCTCATCAAATGTGGATTTTCTTCATGCCACTCGTGTAAGTTGTGTAGACTCATGTAACCATTTTTTTTTTAAATGTCGACTCATCAGTCCATAAAATTTTCCCTAAAAATCACGAATTTTCCTGTTCGACAAAACTCAACTCTTGGATGATAATCCAAGTGTTGTAGAGATTGTGCTCGCTGTACGGGTGGAGCTCGTTCTTTCTCAAGATTCGGTGGGCTGTACTTTTGGGCACTCCCGTCCTTGCTTCTATTTGACTTACTGAAGTAGTACGACGTCCTCGTAAGGAAAAGAAATTATTACTTCACCATATGCCTGATTTGGGAAACGTCAGTCTGGAAGTAAACAGTGCACATTCACAAAAACCCGGTGATCGGGATGACGAGCGTATTTGGGTACCTCTCACGATAAAACCTAGCTGCAGCACTAGTATTACATTTACATTCCCCAGGAATGAGGTTCAATATTGGTCTATTCCTGTATGGTGTACACTCTGTCTGAGAAAAAAAAATGACATTTGTAGTATCGGGAACTGAAAGATCATTGGGCGATTTTTCCGTTTTTTTTTTAAAACCTATAATTTGAAATGTACACGACTTATTTGTTTTTATTTTTCTGATAACTATCATTACTTGGCTTATCTTCCGTTTCGGCTTGACGTCGTCTTCTGGGACACCCTGTATACTGGCCTTTCTTCAAGGAGAGTAATGTGCTAATGTAAGATGACTGGGTCTTCATTCTGCTAGCATTAATTTTTGGATATTATTCCAAATATAGAAGTATTTAAGGACAGTTAGTTAAACTACTATACTTAACATCAGCTACATCTCACTATTGTTCAAATATTTAAAAATATAAAGTTAAATTATAATAATAATATAATAAGGAACGTTTATTGTTTACCCAGGTACTTTTATCATTATTTACCCAAGGAAATAAAAGTTACTTTTCAATGAGACAAGCTGGTATCCCCATTAAGTAGAGCACCTTTTAAATGTTGTTGGTGCATTATTATTACCTTTGTCCTAATATATAAATTATATATTATAACATTAGAAATGTTCCAGAGTTGGTGGTGCTCACTTTTAAAAAAAACCAATGATCTACTTACCTTCAATAGCAATTACTTCAGTGTCTGCCAAAGGATTGTGCGTTTGACTGTCCATCACAGGCCCAAATGACAAATGTCTAATTTTATGTGAAGTATTAAACTCGTTTGATGAGAATGGCTGTACATTGTGCACATGTAAATGACTGATTGTGAAGCTTTCTCCAGGAGCAATGTGAAAACTACCACTAACTCGATTTACTACCAAATTTCCATAGATTTGACAGCCCTGTGTGAAAGCTGTTTTTAATTTTTCATTGTATTTTTCATCTTTGCATTGTTCAATGTCATGCAGCTTTTCAATGGCCCATTTCTTTTCCCTGTATGCTTCCTTTACATCTTCACAAGTATTGCAACATCTATCAGCGGCTCCATAACAGCTCCCACATTCTGTTTTGTTCCCTGCCTTGAAATAGATAATTCTAATTTTACTCAACTTTACATATTTTTCAATTATGTAGATATTTTAAAATTGAATATGTTTGTTTACAGGAAAGGGATATGTCAAAAAAGGTAATCTATGTACATTTTGGACAACAAGGAAAAGACCACCACAACATATGCTAATATCATTGTTATTTCACATTCACATTAATTTACAGCTAATCATAGATGGATGTGTTTGATTAGTAGCAAATCAGCCTATTTAGATGCAAAAATATGCAGAAGTTTAGTCAAAAATGGAATACAAAGTGTAATTATTTTGTGTTAAAGATAACAAAAACTAATGTTTTTGGAGGTGATCATGTATGTTGTTAACTTTGGGCAACAACAAATATATTTTATATGTTCTGATAGATATTGCTGTAATTTCACAAAAAAAAAAAAATATTAAAAAATGTGCCACTAGTCGGCCGACTAGTTTCCAATTGTCGGACAGCATTTGTTTGACAAGTTTTATTTAAAATGTGTGATGGTAGAAGAGAAATTTCAAACCACTTATTAAGACTTTGAGGAAAAGGAATCAAACACACTCATACAGAATCTATTTACTATAGATATTTTTATCAAAAATGCATACAAACTAGATGAAATTGAACAAGAAACTAATTTTTTCCCTTTAATCAGGTCTGCATTGTTGACTTTGAACTACCACAGTATTTACAGATTTCAAGCAATTTTCCAACATTTCTTACAGCTTTAACTGTCTCCTTTAATCTGCCTTCACATACAGAATTTATTTTTTTCTTGGTATCCATTCCTGAATGATGTGGATATGTGAAATTTTATTTCTCAATCTTGTGGAAAAATGGCAGGAAAATGGAAGTGGCAGGTTATTTGGATGCTATGAACATTCCAGTAGTTGGACACAATATCACTCGCCGTAATCTACATTATTTATTATCTTTCGCAGTCCATCCACTGGCTAGGGCTTCAGTCATATGTTGGTTTGCTTAATTCCAAGAGAAAAGTTTTATAGTCTCTATGTTTAGCCAGAAATAGATAGACTGATAACAACCATGCCATCCCAGTAGTTGGACACTTGTGTGCCTGTTTAATTATCACTAGCATTATAATCCAGTCAGGGGTCACTCCAATGTGACCTCAAATGTTAAAATAGCATATTAAGATTAATTTGTTTCATACATTTTTAATGTCTTCTGCATATGTAACAAGAACAGCATTTATATATTGTCAGATGATGATTCCACTTGCCTTTAAAGTTTATGTCACTTACTACACAACTGACAAAAATTGAGGAATCAGGTAGATGCTGTTATGCCCTAATACTGTTGTCAATACTGACCCAAATTACTTGATAAATCTGGTACCAATTACCAGCAAGTATAGGATTTCAAATATTTTAGTTTTTACCAATAACATTTGTCCAACTACTGGTAGTGTCCAGGTACTACTGGCACATTCACCCTACCAATATTTGGGGTGATTTGAATAATTTTGATTGGATCATCTTTGTTTTCTTTGCCTTGAAGTGTCAATATGTATAGTGTGATTTATTTGTGTGGTGCCCCTTTTGCATGGCGAAAAAACATTGTATGAACTTACAGGAGTGGATGTGTTGGTTTTAACCTTTATTGTTATGTCCTCTTTTACTGGATCTTCTATAGGTTTACCTTCTAAATCCAGTCTCCTTTTATAAATATTATGATTAATTTCCAGGTGTTGTTCACCTGATGAGTCCATTGCATCTAATGCTAAAACTTTATAAAAAAAAAAGAAGTGTTGCATTAAGTGAATGTGAAAAATGTAGCTACTTACAATCACACGAGATCTTTGGGATGATAAAATCTAAATTTATTTGAATTGTAGGACTCCTTGACGTGTCCACAAACAGTTCTTCTGTTACATTTGGTGTCATATAATCAACGAATTCAGTCCAAAACAATAATCCCATAATGATAAAGCTGATTATTGTGACTAGAACAAATACAAAAATGTACAATGTAATTTGAAATGGAAAGCCATACGTACTAGTGCCACCTCCATAGGTCTGTATTCTTACATCTTCTAAAGTTTTGGGATAAGCATCAAATCGTCTCAATTTTTTCAAAAATTCCCACATATTATTACAATTTTGAATCAAATGACGTTGACAATTTTTTGAGGTTATGACCACAAAACATATACACTGACTTATGACTTAAGTTTGCTGTCACTTTTGGGTTGGGATCCTAATACTCGAAGCATACTCGTTCTAAGCTGTATACATGCAGTGTTGCCAAATCAATTTATTTTGTGTACAAAAAGTGAAAGTATTTGAACATTGAATCTAGAAGCGGTTTTAACTGTAATATCACTGATAACAGGTTAAACTTAAAAGGTATTTCCGGCAGCCGTATTCCGTGGCATTATATCGATTTTGTATGACATGTAGATTTTTTCACATTATGAGTTGACACGATGCACGAATATCGACCGTCATGAAACGTTCGGAAGAGAATGTTCGGACGTAGAAGCGGTGTTGCCCCGTCAACGATTACAAGTTGGTTAACCAGAACTTGAAAAACGAATTTCCGAGTAAAATATAGTTAACCTCCTAATAGCATTGATTAATAGTCACCCAACTTGAAACTGCAAAACCAGACCTTAATCGTTCACGCACCGTGCACGTAGTGGCTGGTTCACGTTTTTGACATGATTATATCTATTATTTAACACGTTTTGAGAAGAAAATATGTATAGCATTTTATGGAAAATTTGTTATCAAAATTTGCATCGGCATTCAGTCTAGATAGCAAGTAATACAAATTTGAGATATCACCATCATGACTACGATTTTACTACCATCGGCTAGTTTTATCACCGACAGATTTCATCGATTCTTATTTTACAATAGGATAAATTGAACACTGAAGCATTAAAAACTAAATTCCGCATTCTGTGATGTCAGCTCTATCCATTATTATGTGGACGTTCAAAGTTAAGTTTAATCGACAAAATTCGACTCGAATGGTGTTTCATTGCCAGAACGCAGATGCGAAATCTTTAGGTTTTGCAAAACGGGACGTTGCCCGCCATCACTGATGCCCCAATGGTTGGCTCTTACAAAAGCCTCGATATCCCTTAACCAAATATTGAGCAACAGAGCCGAGATTACGTTATAGCTAGGTTTGCCAAGCACAAAAGGCTGCGACTCGCACTGTAACCAAAATTAATTCGTGAGTTTAGACCAACCAAACTTATTATTGACAAAATATTGACAAAAACTAAATACTTTTGGACCATATGGGATTTGTCGAGCGATTTTAACAATGCCTAAAGGCTCCCCTGTCCTAAAAGATCATTTGCATATCAGGAGATACGAAATAAACAGTGGATCTTGCAACCCTGCATACAACTCTGCGAGTATGCCGAGTTTGAGATGTCATCCAGCTTCCTCTTTGACGACGTGTCGCGCGAGTATACAGGGAGAGCTCAATAGATACTTCGGCCAATGCCAGTGCGGTCAAAAGCTCAGCTCAGGAATTAACTCAAACGGCGCTTGTCGTAGGTTAACCAACAGTTCCTTGAATAAAATGTATGTTTTTTTCTATTGCAGAGGATATTCAGGCCACAACCTGGTGATTGGCTCTTCTTGAAACGCCCCATTGTAGGTACGCCGCGATATCTGGGTTTTACTCGCGGTTGGCGACATTCTCTGATCGTACTTCTTTTTGCATTCATTTTACTGTACATCTCTTAACAATGTATTGAGATCAGGAGTTTTACATGTTTTTTGTGGTGCTGCTTGATCCGAATATGAGATTTTTACTCTCTACATCAAATAAATACTGAAACTAAACGAAGAATTGCATTTGTTTATTGAATTAAATTTTAAAGTAAAATTATCATATCCACATATCATACCACAGCTTGCCAAGCGTTATTTGCTGCTGCGATATTCTCAATCCATTCTATTTTCATTGCAAAACTTTTAAAACACCCAAATCAAACCGGACACTTCTGACGACACCTCGGCTAGGATTAACATACCTAACCAAGAAAGTTCGGGAATTGAGCGGTGAACGTTTGAATTTGGAATGTGGCAATTTTAGGGAGCTGAAAATAATTCCCAGCAAATTTTCCTGGCCAGTGGCCGGCCACTTTTATCGTAAAATTTTTCAAACAGCTGTAGCCGAGAGATACAGCCAACGCCGTTTATTATTAGCCTAACCGGTATAATTGATTCATAGATTTTATTGGTATTTAAATGTTTTCTAGTTTGAAACCACGTACTTTTTTGGAAGGTTGTAAAAATGCACCTGTTTGTACTTTTAAAAAATCATTACCAATACTGTACCGGAAAAAAGTTAAAAAAATGTTTGCAGTATATTTTCCTTGTATTAAAATATAGGATATCGGCCACCAGATAGCGTATCGCTTATCTTGAATCCCCAATAGAATCGTTGTTACGTGCCGCTGTGCAACTGCGACGGTAAACACTTAAAAATTATCAGCCACATGATTACAATTTTGTCCAACGACAAGCTTTGCTCACATTGAACCGTAACGTGCATTATACCCAGTGGTTTTTAACAGCTCCAAGATAAACATTATTTGTTATAAACTGAGGACAGTCAGAAAATGCTGGAAAATTCATTTTACCTAACTACCTGCCACCTGTTGGTGCGCTGACTAGAATCGTTCTACATAAAGATAGATTTATCTTAATAATGATTACTGATAATCGTTCTAAATAATCAACGTAAACCAAATCGTTCTACTCAAAAATATTTTTAATGAAATTATTAGGTATGGCTTCACACGTTACCAGAGTACCTAGGTAACGATTTTTTTCTTGGGGAAATATTGTAAGGTGAATTATCAATTTCGAATCTAGTTGCAACTACATGAAGTTTGATTTATGGTATCTTATTTGATAAAATTAATTTTCACTCATTCCTACGTATGATCAGTGTAAACGTTTTTAATAAATCCATGTACCAAGGTGCAAAGTCCATCGGCCAACACAACAAATTCAGTTTCTTACAACGTTGCCGCATTTCTTATTTATAAGTATATTTTGGATATACAGGGCTACTTACAATTGTGGTTAGAGCTACGACGCACGTGTTTTGTTCAACATTTCTGACACTCCGTCACTTACTCGTTGAAATCCGTGTTCTGGTGAACGTACACAAAGCGACTGAAAGTTAGTGAAAAAATGTGATTTATTTATACTCGCCTTCGAACGAAATGTTGCTATACATATAGCAGCGTACAAAATAAACGTCATAACCAACCATCCATTGTCGATTGTTCAGTTCGGCTATAGAAAAAGCCTGCTTGCTGACAAAAACAATATCAGTCCTACCTTTAAATACCAGCTGAAGCTCAGAATAGACAAAGCAGAAGTACCAGTAACTGGTCTGGAGCGCGGTACTGCAAGTGGAACGGTACGGTACGGTTTGCTTTGCTACACAACCACTGGTTCTTTACTTGAAAAAAGCAGCTAGGATCAAGGAAGACTGAGGACGCTAGCCGTAAAGCAAACAATTTCCAATATAAGCACTTTTTGGAAAATCTTGGCCCCAGAACATCGCAGTTAACCAAAATGATACGCTTCGACTCCAGCTACCTTACACCAGCACTTTTTAATCACGTATTATCCAAAGTCAGAGCAAAATATTCAATGGAGTAGTGATATAGCTTTTGTTCGTCCGAACACAAACGGCCAACCATGGATTGTTTCATGCTACTTGGCAACTCCTTCTTGGTCTCGGTGGACAAGGAACAGAGGCTGAACAACTCTATTCTATTCAGAGTAAAATTCTTATCGAAATAAGACGGCACAAAGTTTTTCGGTTCGGTATTCTGACGGTGTGTTCAAATTGATTCGGTTTGTTTCAAAAGGCAGCTCTTATTTGTGCACCATAGAAATCAACCAGTGCCAATATAGGGGTAGCTTAAGTCCAAACGCAGTTGATAAAACGTATCCGCAATATCGGAGTTGGTTACTGATTTTTAGTGGATCCTAAACCACAATTAGTAAAACCTTTAATCGCAAAAATAATAGTTTACTTGGCAACACTGTCGAACGCAGTTGTTTATTAGAAGGTTGGTCTTGGTAGTTTGGAACAGTTGAAACTGTCCGGAAGTGTTCTAATTTTATTTTTTGTCTTCATTTTACTTTACTCATAATTTTTTAAATTATAATACCTGATAAGTAACCAAGTACCTGAAGCATTTATTGCAGACCCAAAAATAGTATTCTAAATAGTGACGTGCAACCAGCAAGATGTTGAAAATTGCAAGAATTTTCCAAATCGTAGAGAGAGTTCAAAGTGCACAGCTCCAAAGGTTCCTTTCCACTGCCCCTGTGCTATGTGGAAAAACCGTCCAAGCACGGGCAGTAGCAGAGAAGAAACCAGCCCCTGAAGAGGACCTATCCTTCGTTATGAATGTCTTCAAAGGACAGGTAGAATCAACACAAATCTTCCCTTTCCCCAAAACTCTCACAGAAGAACAGAGGGAGACTTTGGAAATGATGATTGACCCCACACAGAAGTTCTTTGAAGAAGTTAATGACCCAGATAAGAATGATGCATTGGAGAAAGTTGCTGATGAATCACTGAAGGGCTTGTGGGAACTGGGAGCTTTCACCCTACAAGTACCACAAGACTTGGGAGGCTTGGGGTTGAATAACACCCAGTACGCTAGACTCGTAGAAATTGTAGGTGCCAATGATTTGGGTGTCGGGATCGTACTAGGTGCCCATCAGTCCATTGGGTTTAAAGGTATGCTTATGTATCATAGCTGTTATGTGATCTGGAAGTTTTGTAGCGGAATCGCACAGCAATCCTCTGTTACGTGAGTCAGTGGACTACACAGTCGAGCAGGTTCGCAAACACAAAAGGCCGCGGCTCGCACTGTAATCAAAATTAATTCGTGAACTTAGAACAACCAAAATACGAGCATCTAGTATAATAATTTATCAAAATTTAAGTTCAAATAACTTGACAGAAGTATAAATCATTCAGAACATATAGTAACATACTTTTAGATGAAAATAAAATGCTTAAATACAACATCAAATCAACTCCATTTGAAACAATGTATTGACATTGGTTTTAAACATATTAAAGTGTACAAATGACAAGCAATGTCAAGTTAGGATGCTTACTAAATGGATGCATTTAGGAAATAGCAGCTTTGTGTCTTATCTTAACATTTATTTGATATCAATTGGTTACTAAAGCATTTCAGTGCTGCAGCTACCTGAATGCTCTCATTGGTTGAAATAAATCCATTTGACTATTAAAAAAAGCCTTTGAGCAAATATAGAAACAGTGTATTTTCTTTTACACTTGTATCCATGATGCTAGAATAACAGCTGAGTAGTAATATTTCAAGATTCCCCATATCAACAAATAACGGATCCATCAATGTCAGGTAGAAATAGCTGTATTTTGCATTGTTTTTTTTGTACACTACAGATTCATGTTGTATTTGCTACAAGTAGTTGTCACTAGATTCACACCCTATTCATTATTGCCAATGTTACAGACTAATACAAAGATGGCACTTGCTGGTCAGCGGTTCACCTCAGTAGATGTCAAAACATGATGGATACTTGTGAAATAGGGTTTACTTGAGAAAGCAGATTTCCAATTATCTCATACTATTGATCCCTGATCCCTTTATTTAATGATATTATAATATATTCACCTTGAATTTATATAAAGTGGAGATTGTTAGATCTGATTCTTGGCAATTTTTCTAAGGGAAAGACTATGATTGTACCTTAGCAGTTTTGAAATGTTATTTCGATCTGTTGTTCTTACATATTTTTCCCAACAGGTATATTACTTTTTGGAAACAAGGAACAGAAAGAAAAGTACTTACCTAGGGTGTCCTCAGGAGAGTTTGCAGCCTTTTGTCTTACAGAACCATCATCAGGCTCTGATGCAGGCTCTATAAAAACCAGGGCTGTTTTATCAGAAGATGGAAAACATTATATACTCAATGGATCCAAAATTTGGATCAGTAATGGAGGTAAGTTCATTTCCATGTGATTCAGTTGCTCCTGTCAAAGTATTTATTCAGGATATTATATATGACTGGTACATCACAAACCTATCATGCCTTTTACATTTTTTGAAAAGATGTTATACTGTAGCTTGTTTATAGGTCTGGCTGAGATTATGACAGTATTTGCACAAACTCCAGTACAAGACCCAAAGACTGGAAAAACCATTGATAAGGTGACAGCTTTTATTGTTGAAAGGTCATTTGGAGGAGTTACTAATGGTCCACCAGAGAAGAAAATGGGAATTAAATGCTCAAATACTGCTGAAGTATATTATGATAATGTGCCTATTCCAGTTGAAAATGTGCTTGGTGGTGTAGGTAAGTCAAATTGAAACAATTATGGTTGTCTTAAGCTATGCAGGGGCTTCAGGGCAAACAACTCAGAGCAGGGGTGATCCTACCAGTGAACGGGCCTCAGAGCAGAGCAAAGTAATGCAGGTTATTTCGAATTGTGTATTACTTTTAGTAGCATTCATGTTAGAAACAGTTGCTCTTCCTGATAATTATTTATTCTTAGAATTGATAACTTAATCAATTTAAAAGATTGTTGTTTCACATAAAAATTTGTTTTGTCTATAGACAGTGAAGGGTCAATGACCAGTTTTTTATCTGAAAAATACAACAAAAACAAAGATGCTTTAGGTTTTTTATTATGTTTATATTTCAGACATGACTGTACAAAAAATATGAATCATGTTTGTACACACACTTATGACTTTCACTTTTTAAAATGTTGGTATAATAATATTAAGAAATAGATATATGCTGCAATTTTTTGTGAATATTGTTAACCTTTTACCAACTTTTGAAAGAGTAGTTCATGAAAACAAACATTATTTACTATTTACTAAATTTTGTAATAAGCAAATAGATTACATTTGTCATTATCAACTAGTAGATTATACAGGGTGGTCAGTAGTTAAATGGACATAGTAAAATGGTAGGTATTATGGACTGATACATTTTCATAACTGAAAATAAAAAAGGTCTGAATTCAATTTTTTCGGATATACAGAGTAGTAGTAGTAGTAGAAAGATTTATTTAGCACATTTGGCTACATAAACAGAATAATATTGTAAACAACTAAGAACTAGTACATTCAAGCCATATGGTGTATGATGTAAATGCTGGGCAACCTATAATTGTAGATTTAACAAGTGATTTCTCAATTTTACTTTAGATTTTGTCAAAGTTTTCTGGTCTTTTATCTCCGAGTATAATTTATTATATTCAATCAACCCTTGATGGAATACAGATTTGTAGCATATGTTATACTTTTTGGTCATTAAATGGAAGTCATCTTTATTTCTGGTATTATGTAAATGATGGTCGACATTTGATGATGTTAAATTAGTTAGACTTGATGGAAATATATTATTTTTACTTTATAAATGAATATCATTACAAGATATTTGATAAAATTTTTTACACTGAGCCATTTTAATTTGCTAAGCATTTGCATAATTGGAGTATATTTATCTTTATTTAGTATTATTCTCATGCACTTATTTTGTAAAATTTGCAGTCTTTCAAAAATGGAATTATTTGCTAAATATAGAATAGTCGAACAGTACAAGAAATTTGGAAGAATGGTGGTATTATATATTATAGATAATTTTTCTGCTATATGAACTCAGACATCCAGAAACTCTCGATAAACATCCCACTTTACTACTAATCTTATTTATAACTTTTTCATAATGAATATCAAAAATTAATCGAGAGTCAACAAAACCGCCAGGTATTTAAAGTTTTCTACGAATTCAATATCTTCACCATCAATATTCAGTTGAACATTTGTACATTGTTTTTTTCCGATTAACAAGGCTTTCGTTTTACTTGCATTTAATTTTAGTCTGTTAGATGCTAACCATTTTGAGACAAGCTTCAAGTCTTCATTTATATAATAGATACCAGACTGAATATTTTTAGTACTTATATAAATCATAGTGTCATCGGCGAAAATCTGAATTTTGCATTTTCTGACTATGGCAGGTAAATTATTTATGTATAAAATAAAGTGTGATTTATATAAACACGCCAACTCTTTATTACATATCTCAGCCGTTATTGAACGCTTTTTATTTAATTTTTGCATGCTAACAAAGTTACCGGGGGGTAACGTGAAGGCGGACGGACGATTAAAAAATCCAGGACTCAATTGTTTCCACTTTTGTCTTTCATCAAAATCAACACCTGTCAAGCTGAATAGATTGATTTCGCCTCATTTAGTTTTTTTTTTCAGCTAAAACCAAGGTTAAACCTATTTATTTATTCAAATGTCTTATTTTTAGCAGCTTATGTGACACATAACACAAAATTTTAAGTGTCATCTTAACTTGGTGTCATCAACGTTTTAGATAACAATGTTTACTCATAGGTCACTTTGTTATCCTGCAAAATTTCAACAAAATCTGTTCAGTAGTGCTTGAGGTATGTGATAATAAATATTTGACGTGCTTAGACAGTCTAAAGACTTTAGAAAGGTTAGAACTTCATTATTTGCAGATATGAAAAGATTTCGGTCCATACTACCTACCATTTCACTCCGTCAAGTTAATAACGGAACACCCTGTATAACATGAAGTAAAAGATTCTCGTCTATTCCAATAGGTCAAAAGGTTATAATTGTTGATCTATAATAGTATAAACAAAAATACCTTATAAGATATGAAAATAAAATTATTATATAACCTATGACTTTCTAAAAGTATTACAAAATAGTTTACTCAAAAGCGTAAACACGAGGATTTACAATGAACAGTGATCTGGTGCGTGATGATGGTTATGTTCATCAAGGAGGAGTATTTTTATAATACTACTGAAGTGACTTGCATGTCCGGTGAAGAAACGCATAAACGGCTATTTCTAGACCGTTCAAACATTGTTACAAATACCTCGTTGTATTCTAAGGATATTTCTGCTTAGAATATAAAAAATGTGACAGGAAAAAATTAGATACAAAAAAATTAAATTTGGCCACTGTCATGAATGATATGCTCGCAGTTGTGCTAGAGTCCTTTTACGAAATTGATTACGAATTACTAAATAATAGGAGTACTTTATGATGTGATTTATGATTCTTTGATATGCTGTTTTATGCCATGGTACAGCTCTCCATACGAAAAATGTATTGTTTTAGGTAATGGCTTTAAAGTGGCCATGAACATCCTGAACAATGGCCGTTTTGGAATGGCAGCAGCATTATCAGGCACAATGAAGACCTGCATCAAGAAAGCTGTTGATTTTGCTACACAACGTACACAGTTTGGTCAAAGGATTGATAATTTTGGTGGTATACAAGAAAAAATTGCCAAGATGTCCATGCTACAGTATGTTACAGAATCTATGGCATACATGATTTCAGGTAAATGCCGTACGCTCATTGGTATAGAATTTCTGAAAAATTATCTATAACCAGATGATTTATATGAGAAGTTCCATGGCTATCAGGTTATTCGGGCAAAGTTAGTGCAAAGTTTGGAAACAAAAAGTGATTTTAATTCAATCTTGATGTCTTGGTGTGTGAAGGTGGCTAGGATGAGATGTATAAAACAAACCTCTTTTTTTGCATCCAGGGGTATTTATCGTGAAACAAGAAACAAGTGATTATATGCACATCTGGATGATAACCTGTAGTCGTTGGTGTAGTCAGAATTTCTGGTAATTCGCCTTATATCTTACAGGACGTGATAGGATGCCTAAAATTCAGCACATCTTTCAACAGTAATATTAAATCGGACATTTCGGTCTAAATAATAAAAAAACCATGCGGAATATGGGTGAGACTGCACTCAATCTTCATAGCTTGTACTCACATGTGAGTGAGATCTTAAAATGAGTATTGTATTTTATTTAACCAAAGTGACACAATAGTGTATATGGCAAGTAATACCTATATAAAGTCTAAGGAAATAAAAAAAATACAAACAGCAAACATTACAACAGATAAAATGTATACTTACAAGACACATCTACCATTGCACTTAGAATTCGGCATCCAAATATTTATTTATTGAGTAAAAAAGCAGTTGCTCTGCAAAAATAATTTCACACTGTCCTTGAATTTATTATAATGTTCTATTTTTCTAAGGTAAATAGGTAGTTTATTAAATAAGATCACACAATTATAATATGGTGACTGCTTAAAATGTGATGTGATTTTGTACAGCTAGAAGATTGGTTATTCTAGTTTGATATGACTGACAATACTCTAGCGTAAGGCTTTGTTTTCTTTTTGGACTGTAGAAAAATTCAGGCTGATATAATAGATGATATAAATCAAAAGCATGAACAATTTGATGCAAATAGATATTTGTAACATAACGTCAAATAGAGCGCTGACATGAAACGGTAGAAAACTATGTCCATAAAGAGGTCCTACAACTGTAGGAACGACTGACGATACGGCTCTTAGTAGCCCCAAAGACGTAGACAACTCGGCGATTGGAAAGCAATCACAAAATTTTCGGCGGGCCTCAGCAGCGACTTTGAAAAACCATAAAAGGCAATGATGCCGTAAAGCATTAATTTAATCATTCATTTATTTTCATTAGCTCATAGTAAACGCGGGAAGACAGCTAATGGCTACTTTATTTCAAAGATGACAAACGCAGGAGCTAAAAACTAAATGCAGACCTCATTCCCAACTGAAAGTTAGAAATAGTTAGAAAGAGAATAAAAATCACTCAAACTTCGTGTTTTGGCGTTTCAGATGATCCGTTCATTCTTGAAAAAAGCTTTATATATATGTATATTTATTTGATGTTAATACATTTATACACTCCCTACCTTGGTAATTCTACGCACCTACCAGACATATTTCTCCACACATTAATTATTAGCCCTTAAAACTTCTCAGCAGACGAATCGCGTTCCTGCCGGCCGCGGCTGCTGCGCTCCCGGCGGTGTGTTGCCGGCCTTGAGTGTTTTGTTGTTCTGGTATGGTATTACACGTATTTTTGCTACGCTACAGCATAGTGTTTCCTATGCTCTGAACGCGCTGCCACGTCTGACCGAGTAAGTATCGGGGAGAGACGACGTTTCCAGTTTCCGGCAGGGCAGGGAAATAATATCCTTGGACTACTTGTTTGGACCTGTTTGACTGACTTTTTTCGCATAGGGTCCAGTTTGTGCTGAACTGATAACGGCGTTGCGTGTGAAGAGAAACTTTTTATTGCTACGTTCACTTAATTTGAGTACCAGCCACGAAAACGAATCGCAGTCTTATCCATTACTTACATGGTTTTTTATTATTTAGACCAAAACGTTGAATTTCTGGTTATTGTTGGAAAATTACAAAAATTGAAAAATCTCGAAAAAAAATTGATTTTCGCCTATAATTATATATCGTGAAATTTTTTGCATTTAATTTTGTATATTTTGATAGGGCTATTTATATTTTCATAATTATCGAGGTATCTTTTTTAGGCAATATGGACAGTGGATCGAAACATTACCATTTGGAAGCCGCCATATCAAAATGCTTTGCTTCTGAAGCAGCTTGGTATGTCTGTGATGAAGCTATACAGATTATGGGAGGTATGGGCTTCATGAAGCATACAGGCCTAGAAAGGATTATGAGGGATTTGAGGATATTCAGGATATTTGAAGGTATGTGTTTTAAGTACTTTGAGCAATCTTATTAGCGTTAGGGCTTTACAGCTGTTACCGTCAACAAAATCAGGGACTTGAAAATTTTCCTACTACTTCATGAACAAGGTCTTGACCGAGTTATGCTTGGTTTTGAAGTTAAACTGTGAGTGTGTAGATTAATGTTCGGTTAAAATCTGTGCCTTGGGTTTTGTTATCTCAGTTGTAATAGGGTGTGAACATTGGAAAAACTGAAAAACCAGTCACTTGATCCATATTTTTATTTCAGGTACAAACGACATTCTGCGATTATTCGTCGCATTGACAGGCATTCAGTATGCCGGAGCGTCGCTCAGGGAATTGCAGCAAGCATTTAAAAATCCCGCGGCAAATTTGGGCTTGATTTTCGGAGAAGCTTCCAAACGAGTGGTGAGAAAAGTCGGTTTGAGTTCGCCACCAGCGATCGAGCACCTGGTTCATAGAGACTTAGTCGGTGCGGCGACGATGTTAGCGAAAGGTAAGACAAACGTGATTTCTGTCTTTGCTGTTTATATCGGGACTTGACAACTTTGAACTTTCACTGTGCAGTCACCTTTAAATCAATTACCGAAGTGCCAATGTCAAAACATTCAGTAAAGAAAACATTTTCATCACGAACGAACAACGCTTACAAATAATTAAAATTTACCACCGAAATTCCGAGTCAGTGACTGCAACTTTAAGAGCGTTAACGCCAATTTTTGGTCGTAATTCTCGTCCCAGAAGACAAGCAATTCATAGTCTAGTAGAAAAATTTGAGTCCACATATTCGCTGCTGGATGTTCCCGTGCCAGTGAGACGGGTTGGTCGAAGTGCCGAGAATATTTCTGCCGTTCAAGCTTCCGTCTCAAACGGCGTTCTCAAGAATTGGGCATCTCTCAGATCACACTATGGCGAATTTTGCGAAGAGATCTTGGCCTGCACCCGTATACGATCAAGTTAACTCAAGAACTAAATCCGTTCGATCATATGAACGAATGGGGCTCTAGAAATGTTGCAAGAAAATGACAATTTTCATCGCAAAATCATCTCCTGCGAGGCGCATTTTTGGCTAAACGGCTTTGTCAACAAACAGAATATTCGTTATTCGTCAGGTGAAAACCCTCATGTACTTCAAGAAACACCACTTCATCCACAAAAAATATCTGTATGCCGGTGGTGTCATTGGGCCGTTTTTTTTCGTTGATGAAAATGACCGTCACGTTACAGTCAACGGAGATCGCTACAGAGACATGTTGCAACGTTATTTTTTTGGTCAATTGGATGGGCTAGACATTAATGACATGTGGTTTCAACACGACGATGCCACAAGACACACAGCGGGTGAAACAATCGACATATTGAAATCAAAATTCGGTGAACGTGCTTTATCGAGAAATGGTCCTGTCGAATAGCCGCCTAGATCGTGTGATTTAACACGTCTAGATTTTTTTTTGTGGGGATACATTAAATGCCAACAAGCCGGCGTCGCAAAGGAGCTCAGAGCCAATATTGTCGCAATGTGTGCTCGAGTCATTGAAAATTGGGTTCAACAAATCGATCGCTGCGAACGTCATGCTGGTGGATATACAGTGTGACTTTGAAGTTGAGTCATTTTCAGATAATGATTGTAGAAGGAAGATAAACCAAAATGTGTGTAAAAATAAAAAAAAAAATAAAAAAAAATTTACCTTGTTTTATAAAGTATCCTCCCGACAAGTATTTCAGTGCGGACCTGTATTTGATCGTGAGATCTTGGAGCACCGGCATGCCGTCCCCTGTGAGGTCTTAAGTCACCTGATTCACGAGCCCGTTGTACTACATTAACAAAGGCGGGGTTGGTTGCACTCGATTGGGAAACCGATCCGCATAAACATGTGCCATTTTTGATTTCGTTTGAGCCACGCAACAGACACCACTATTCACTCACGCGTTACCGACTGACACTGACTGTATACAACTGAATAAAATAATTGTAAAAACATCGTTCCAAATTCTTTCGCTTTTTTGTTTCCGATGCGATGAACCGATAAGGCGGATTATATCCGTTGTTGCCAAACACGAGCACATAATATTATTATTGAGACAGGGCGGTACTCAAACTTCCAAAGGGCTATAACTTTGTTACTTTAATTTTACCAGAAAAATGGTAAAGGAAAAAACATTTCTTTTGATCAGATCTACTCACTGTTAAAATAAATGACTCAACTTCGAAGTCACCCTGTATAAACGAGGTCAAATTCCATACATAAAGGTTTTGGGTATACTTCAATGCAATAATAAAATTTTCGAGATAGCTGAAATGGTTTGTGTTTTATTTAAAAAGAAAGTTGTCAAGTCCTTAATGGAAAACTTTATATTTTTTCTCGTTAGCTTTTTTCCTATCCAAAATACCCATATTTAGGTCGCAGAGGCCTTGGTGCAACGTTCACTTGCCTGGAATTTTGATATAAAACATAAAGGGTATTGTATAATGTTACTATTTTTGTTATACTACCTCGAAGGCCTAAGGCACACGTGTGCATGTAACATGCACACATTCTAGGTTACTTGGAGATCCGCCGGTTATTGCGTGCGACAGTTAGATGCCATCTATTACCTACGGACAACCACAACATCCATATATAGCCATAAAACATTCCCTAAGCTTGATAAGTTTATTCCCTCACTTCTTGTCTAATGCCCGTTTCTTCCAGTCCCCGACATTCCTGCTCCTCGAATTTTCCATAACCGCATTCTTCCATCTTCTTCTTGGTCTCTCTCTTTTATTCTTGGTATCCAGAAATCTCCATGCTATATGCTTCCACTTCTCTTTCTTGCGACATTGTTTCCAGGTGCCTCAGCCATTGCAATCTTCTGGTCCTAGCTACTTCTACCGGGTGCGCTCTCTTTTATGTCGGTATTGAAACATCGAATGACTTTGATATTTACCAACCCAGTGATTTGGTTATACGTGTTTCTGAAACGTCAATTTAATACAATTTTAGTCATGAATCGCTTTACACCGAAACAACGCGCCGAAATAGACACAATACTAAGTGACATATAAATCCGAACACCCAGTTTAAATGGTTTTATTTTAATAGTTGGTGAATGTATTTATCTTACTGTAAATAACAAGTGAAAAAATTTTCAGCCTTATCAGTTGGACATTCCGGTTTTTATACTGTTTTTTTTTAATTCACTAACGCTCTAAAAATGAATATTTCAGCCGCAGTAAAGAATCAACGTTGGCGGATTTTGGTTCTTGACATCCTTTACGATCGGTTACGATGCCTAGAGTACGGAGACCTGTACGATTTCGTCAACTTAGTGAGTTTGATAGGGGCCGTATAGTGGGACTTCGGGAAGCTGGACTTTCTTTTCGGGCAATTGCAGTTAGAGTGCAAAGAAGTGTAGACACTGTGGTTAGGTGTTGTCAGGCATGGCTTCGAGAAGGCCGTACGCAAAGAGCAAGGGGCACTGGACGCCGCCGTAGAACAACAGACCGTGAAGATCGCCGCCTAAGATTATTGGCCTTAAGGGACCGTTTCTCCACTACCAGGTCCATTGCAAATGAATGGTTTGCAGAACACGGAAGACCTATTGGCATGCGAAGTGTTTACCGACGAATGAGCAGTTTTGGCTTGTTTTCATACCGGCCACACTGGGTCCTCCCTTTAACTCGAGAACACCGACGTAATCGCCTTGAGTGGTGCAGACAACGGTCACTCTGGGATCAGGAATGGAACAGTATTGTCTTTAGTGACGAGTCTCGATTTTGTTTAGGCATGTACGATGGTCGTGCCAGGGTTAGAAGGCGACGTGGTGAAAGGAGGAATCCACAGTTTTTTGTTGAAAGACATGTTCATCACACTGTTGGAGTTATGGTTTGGGGAGCTATAGCTTATGGTTCCAGGTCACCTTTAATCTTCATCAGAGGTAACATGAACGCGCAGCGTTATATCCACGAGGTTCTAGAACCCCATCTTTTACCCTATCTTGACACCCTGGCAGATCCAACTTTCCAACAAGATAATGCCCGACCACATGTTGCAAGAGTCACAATAGACTTCTTTCAACATAATGATGTCACATTGTTACTATGGCCACCAAGATCTCCCGACTTATCCCCAATTGAGCACGCGTGGGATATGATGGGTAGGAGATTGCTCAATTTGCAACATCCTCCTCAGACTCTAGAAGCACTTTGAGAGGAGTTGGTGGTTGCCTGGAATGAGATACCACAGGAGGACATTGACCACCTGATCAGAAGCATGAGTAGGCGCGTTGGAGAATGCGTAGCACATCAGGGTGCATCCACACATTATTAAAGGTCAAAGGGCTTTAAAGCAGTGCAATCATTTTGAAATTTTTATCATTTACTTATTATGCTTCATTAAGTACTTATACAAAATTTTATTAAAATAAAACCATTTAAACAACTGGGTGTTCGGATTTATATGTCACTTAGTATATTACGGTAGAATGTCTAGTAATATTTCAAAATTCCCCATATTCGCAGGACATAATTCTGACGGATCCGTCAATGCCAGGTAGACAGAGCCATATTTTATTTTGATTTTTTGTACACTTCAGATTCGATTTGTGCTTGTTTGATCTTCCGTTTGCTATTATTGTTTCTCTGCCAAAGGCATTTTTTAATCTTTGACACTTTGTCTCTTGGAAACTAGACTTTTTGGACACATGATATGAACGTTTCTACTTGAATTTGCTTCAGGGATACGACCTTGAAATTACGGCCTCTACGGTTCCCTATATCATGGCTCGATATTAGACAATACAGATCGATAATTTTGTTTCAGAAATCGACTCGTTCGGCCAAACGATAGAAATGATTCTAATAAAATACGGCAAAGGAATTGTAAACGAACAATTCATCTTGAACAGGATAGCAAACGCCACTTTCGATATATTTAGTAGCGCCGTCGCGCTGTCGAGGGCTTCCATGGCGTTGAGCGAAAATTCAGATACTGCGACACATGAGAAGCTGATGGCACAAGCGTGGACGCTTGAAGCTATGGACAGAGTTAAGGTAAATTTATAATACAGAGTTATCAGTTTTGCATGTCGTTTAAAAACAAAGGATCATTGATTTCCTTTCATTTCCCTACCATGGTTGTGTCTAGTCTGGGTGTTTGGATGACGGGTGTATCTACTTTGCTTCCTTAAAACTTGGTAGCTATTAAAATAATCTACATTATATTAAAAATGCTAAAAATGGACAACAAACAGTATGTAATGTTATTAAAAACAAAAAACCAATGTAAAGCCAACACCCAAGCACGACGCTTAGTGCATCTGACTTCATTCTTTATTTTACTAACATTGCAAAAATCGAGTAGACAAAATTCCACCTTCAGGTTCAACACATACGAGCTATTTGCTTGAGGTATTTCAAACAGAAGGTTTTGTTTTTAAATTTTTAAAGAGGTTCAATAAAGTCATGGCAGCGATATATATATATATATATATATTGAAAATATCTAACAGTTTTGATTTTTTCGGTTTCAGTGCAAAAATTATAACTACTAAAGACCTTATTGTTATACCATTGACAAAATTATTCAATTGGTGTATTTCAAATGGTATATTTCCTGATATCTTCAAACTGTCCCTCTCTTTAAAAAAGGCCATTCCAACGATGTTTCAAATTATAGACGTATTTCACTTATACCCATACTTGTTAAGATACTTGAGGTTTTTTTGAAAGACCAGCTGATTGACTACTTTGAAATCAACAGCCTATTTACTAACTGTCAATTCCGTTTCAGATCAGGTAAGTCTACTTTTCTATCTATTGACAGCTTCATTGAGAAAATAAATGCAGGTTTTGAAAGTGGTGCTCAATGCTTAGCTAATTTTTTTGATCTTACTAAGTCCCTTGTGTCCAACATGACATTCTTCTACAAAAATTGTCGCATTATAAGTTCCATAGTAATAGCATTAAGCTCTTGTCATCTTAATTGAGCAACAGGCAGCAGCTTGTAACCATCAACCGCACTACCTCCAGTACAACGACAGTTTCATGTGGTATTTCACAGGGTTCTGTGCTGGGACCACTTTTATTTTTAATATACAGTAATGGACAAAAATATATAGACAAATTAATATTGTGCTGTATTTCTTTTTTAACTTGTTTTATTAATTTACCAACTTGTACACCTAATTCGTTATAGCATAATACTCACTTATACATAAATAAATTCATTAGACTCCCTTCAATAAAAAATTAATTTAAAAAAAATGGAAATATGAAGGACAAAAATATATAGACAAAGCAAAACAATTATAGAAAAAAGAAGCAAAGTTCATTGAATTATAGAAAACCCACCATGTTTGTGTTAATATTTTGTAGCATAACCATTATCATCAATCACCGCCTGGCATCGTCTCGGCATAGATTGTAGAAGTTTCTTGATATAAGATTCATCAATCTGTCTCCACTTTTGCTCTAAAGCGGCAAAAAGTTCATCCTTGTTTGAATAATCTCGTATTTGCTTATCTAAGCACTCCCATAGATTTTCAATGGGGTTTATATCGGGATACTGTGAAGGCCATTTGAGAACTGGTATTTTTTCATCCAGAAAGAATTTCTTTGGGAGATTTGAAGTGTGCTTCATTATCTTGCTGGAAGATTGATTTTAAGGGCATGCTGTCTTCCATATAGGGTAACATGACATGCTTTAGTATGTCTGTGTATACAAACTTATCCATAATGCCAAACTCCGAAAAGCACCCCCAAACCACAACAGACCCGCCTCCATGTTTGATAGTGGGCAAAGTGTACTTGGGGTTCAATCTTTGTCCACTAGGACGTCTAACGTAATGAACACCATCTGATCCAAACATATTGAACTTGGATTCGTCACTGAAACATACCCTCTTCCAGTCACAGATGCTCCAATCAAGATGCAACCGTGCAAATTGTAACCAGTCCTTACGGTTTTTCCTCGAGATTAGCGGCTTCTGGCGACGTGCAAATAACTTCAAATCATTTAATCTTCTACTTATAGTTTTTGTAGAAACACGATTTCTCGATTTCGGCTTTTATTTGTCTTGGGGGTTTTAAACGGATCTTTGGACGAAATTACTTTTATTAATCTAACTGATCTAGCATTTAGTTTTCTATGCCGACCACTTCTCTTAGAGGCTTCCAAGATACCGTTTTGTTTATATTTGTTCAATATTACCCAAACTGCTTTACGCTTTAGCTTCAAATTTTTGGCAATGTCGACTTGACGTTGACCATCTCAATGATCTTAGTTTTCACATCGAAATAAATTTCTGAACCGCGCGGCCTGGTCTTAAAATCACTCAACTTATTCCACAATACTTGATGAACTCAAACTAATCCTCTTCTGACACGAAACTGTACTAGACTAATGTTGAAAAGAATTTGTCTACATATTTTTGTCCCTCATAAAAAAGTGCTTATATTCAGACTTGTATTGTGTTCATTGCAGATAATGTAAAAACAAGGAATTTAGTTTTTCTACTAATAACGCATTTGTTTATGGAGCAATGAAGTATGAATTCGTTTTCTAAAGGTATTTAGGTAAATATTCATATTTGTCTATATACTTTTGTCCATTACCGTATCTCCATCTCTCTCATACATACACATGCAACATACCCCTGTGTGTGAACGTTTGATCGGTAAGCTCAAAGACATACGTTTTTTAGTGGTGCGTCTCCGTCTCGAAAACTTTGTCGTTACGTATGAGTACCCTTCAATCATATTTGTCAGAGTGACTTACTTGACATCGGCGTGCAATTCGTGTTGCCTTGTTAACAATCTTCAATATAAAATTGTACAATGCCCGATCAATTCAGAAGGCCGACAGCTCGTGCTAAATTTATAAGAGTATTTCCAGGAGAATTGAAACAGGGGTCCCCTGTTATCCACTTAATGCGTACTGGAGGGAGTAGCAGATGCGCTGAAGATTAGTCTACGCCCATGGAACGGAGACTTGATCTGTTTACTTATTTCATATGGCTTTGATGACGTAACCGTCAAGAACGGTGACTACAACTATACAAAATTTTTGCCATGAGCAAATGTGCTTCTTGAGAAGTGTTTGACATTTTCAATGTCAGTGTGTCAGTTGATGGCTTCTTTTTCTGTGACTATCGCACTTTTTTTAATGTTTGATTTTTTTGCAGATTAATTTGCAGTACATCCTGAGAGGCCAGAATTTAGATAACTTCCAAAAGATGAGTGCGATTTCAAAGAATGTTTGTACTGCAGGGGGTGTAGTACAACTTAACCCCCTTAAGATTTAGTGTTGTCTAAGCTTTAAATAATCTATTTATTTTTGTTATTTTCTATAATATACCACTTTTAAGACTTATACATATGTAAATATTTTTGAATTTGATAATAAACTAATTTGTATTTGTATATAATATTTTTGTTTTGCATTGGGGTAGCACGATCCTGAAAACAAATTTTTAAAGTTTTGTTTTGACATTTTTGTCTGGTTATGAATGAGGAAAGGTTGAGAGGTAGTTAGTAAACAGGAATTAGACAATAATAATTTATTCAGTACCCTTAATACATGTAACAAATAATATTTCTGTTTCAAAACTATTTAAAAATAAATAAGTATTCTTAAAAGGAAAACGAAAATAAATATTTTACACGTCTTACCAAAATATAAAATTCATTGTACTGATTCGTTATAGAGACGAACAGCTCGTTTGATTTATAACTTGTCAGCTAAATCTTGATACTAGCCAGTAACAACAACAACAAATAGCTCAATTCAATGGCTTGTAAAATAAAAAGGAACGATGAACAAGCAAATGTTTATCCGAAAATGACCGTTAACATACTTGAACTTAAACATTTTTATGTGAAGGGAAACTAGGTATAACTCACGCGCAACAAATCAGTATATAAGTGACGCTAAATGAGCAGGTATTTAGAGAGTACACTACACGTCTAACGGCACATTGGACAAACTTCAAATACTGACCATTATTGGGAAGTATCACATTGTGGTATGTGGACCTTGAATTCTGGTACCATCAAGACAGATTCTGACGTTTGTCGGCCGCTTTCAAATACATATAGATAAAAAATCAGTCGAAAAGAAATGAAAAAGGCTGAAGAGTGGTCAGAGTACGTTGAACGAATGATGATCAGGCTTTACTGATCTTCATTTGAGACAAAAAAGAAAATCTCCATTCGCTATGACTCACCATGAAACTAGCAACAAAACCTATGTTTTACCGAGGGTTTTCCGGAAAAACATTTGCAAAGTATATTTTGTGTTCTATTTTCTTCTGCCATTAATCCGAGCAGTTACTGGACCAACACACCAAATCAACGTTTCAGACGACCCCATGTGGAAAATTGGCAAAAACACCTACAGATGAAATTCCCACAAAGTCTTGTCAAATCGTTGTTGTACTAGATTATTCTTACAAAAGCAACTAACTCTGAATTAACTATATACTTCATCGAGTACTTTAGAAAAAGTTTGATTTTAGGCCTGACAAAAATTCTCATTAAAGGTAGTAGCGGCTCAATTTTGTGATGCTCACGGAATGTAAGCTAGCTAAGAACTGTGAATTACTCTATTATTGTGTAGTTTTGGTCAACGATAAAAGTTACATGACTTTTTTAAGTATACGATGAGTCACAAAACTGAGCCCAGTAGTACTAGTCGTTTTGAAAATAAACATGGACGATACAGACCGCTTCAATAATGATGGCTAAACATGGTGTAATGAAAGGCGATCTTCTTAATTTGAAACGTTATTTGAATATACATTGTTAGCCATACATTTTTGATAGCCATATGCTTCATACCGCCTTACCAGTTTTTTTCTGAAATGACTACACAGTGTTCATGCCGGTTTTGTAGCTATATAGTTCATATTTGAAACTTTTTAACCAAAAACTACTTCACCCTCGGACCCCCAGAATATCGAGTAATAGCTTGTTTGAAAGGTCTTTCGCAGTACTTTGTTTTGACGTTTGATTTTTTAAAATCAGTCGATTCGTTTTTGAGAAAATTAGAAAAATCTTCATTTATCCTAATTTGTACAAATAGAAAACCAGAACACACGAAAATATCACTTTTCATTTCAATAAGTGTTTGAAATATTATTGTTTGTCAAATCCTCATTTCGTTTATAATTTGTAAAGGAAACTACCAACATAAACAGCAATTCGGAAGATTAGATGTGGCAACAACCAAATAACAACCCGAATTTTTTCCGAATTTCATCAACACATATCTGGGCGAACTGTATTTATTGTTATACCTGTTCAGTTATTTGTTGCTAAGGCAAAGAAAGAATTTAATACTTCATTGTTTCAGATTTTACTTCCAAAATGGTTGTCATACTAGCCAAATGATTCTAATTTATATGCTCGGCAAACTCACGCCAGAATCCGGAGAAGATAACTTCGCATATTATGTTTTGGACCTTGATATTAAATTTACTCAAACTGGATTTGTGGCAAATAAAAAACGTGATCATCGGAGAGTTTTGGATGAAGTTGGAGTTTTCAGTCATTTTGGAATAAATCCTAATACTTCATTACGCAAAGTTATTCTTCCGGTTCGAAGGCCTGCTAGATCTCGTGATTTGACGCCATTAGACTTTTTTCTTAGGGGGCCATTTGAAATCTATTGTGTTTACTCGCCAACCTGAAAGTTTGGATGAACTTCCTCAACGCATCATAGAAAGCTGCCGTGATATCCCACATGTTTTTTGAAATGTCCGTCAGAAATTTGAACATCGCCATAGATTTTTCTAATTTTCTTGAAAACGAAACGACCGATTTAAAAAAATCAGACGTCAAAATAAAGGACTTTGAAAGGCCTTTCAAACAAGCTATTACTCGTCATTCGTCATTTACAATTTTTAAGAGGATGACCCTGCGAAGGTGAGGGTGAAAGGAGGTGAAGTAGTTTTTGGTTAAAAAGTTCTCCCCCTTGACAAACCTTCTGACATGTCTCGGTGTTTTTTCTTGTAACACCCTGCATAAACCACCATAGTAATAAAAAAATTCTAGCAGTCTGCTGTCTGATGGTATCCCATTTTGAACATAAAAATAAACTCTTCAACATTTGGTAGGCCACCAGGTATATATCATATTTTCAGAACACATTTTTTTACGATCCAAAAAAACAACTATCATATTTTCAACACGACTAATGCACTAATAAGTTGTTAGGTACAGAAAATCTGAAGATATTTGTTGTTATAAAAACTTCGAATTTTGATAGTACCCTGTACATTTCACGTAATTTATAAATAAGGCAAGGTCTTTTCATCGAGAAAAAATACTAGCGAGGTTTCATTATTGTAACGTATAGTAAGTTCAAATTAACCATTAACATTTCCGTTGTCGCTGACTATAAATATGTTCAGTCAGTCTTTTGAAAGACAATATCAAGTATATAATACTGCTTGCACTGTTCCCGATGGCAGTTATATACCTTTTAAAAAAATGGCACATTATCGATTGTTATGGCTTTAAAAATATCTTGAAAGGGAATAAACAGCATACAAGAAATGTAGTGAGGAATTAACATAGAATCTAGAATGAATTTAGAATATACCTTCAAATTTCCTGCATATGATATAAAAGGAATCTTTCCTCAAGTATACTAGAACGAGATATCGTTACTAATCTGTACAATATTACAGGACTAGTTACCGCAGCCTAAGCATAGGTTCGCGCATATGTGTTCTGGTACAAAGAAATGAAAGACACATATGCGCACAGTTTTTGATTTGCAATTCAATTTGAATATGATCATGAATAAGCGAACTAACATTTTTGTTTTTTCAATAAGCGTTTAAGTGCAAAATTCAACTAGGCACACAACATAGTGTCTTTGTAAGGAAGACAACGTTAAAAAAGATTGACAAATAAATGGAAATAGCGAATGACCACTCTAAAACGACCACATTATTCAAAATAACAGATATTAGTGAATAATAATAATTGGCTCTTGTCAACCAATACGTATGGGTTGTAGGTAGTAGAATTTCTCAAGATAAAACTTATGCTTTGATACGTTACTGAATATACAGGGTGTCCCAGAAATAACACGCTAGGTCCATTACTTAGTGATTTGGATACAAAAGACGACTGCACTTATTTTTTATTTGTAGTATTTCATAAGTATGAATGACAAAACTTGGGATTATTCAATTTTTAGTAGAAAGAACCTACAGATGATACAATTTTTAAAAGAGCACTAAATAGGCTAGTTTTTAAGATCATTTGCCGATTCAGTCTGGTACATTTTATTCACAGTAATTAGTCAAATTTTAGTAAAAGTTTTCACATTAAAAAAAAAATGTATTAATTTTTTTTAGCATACCGTGCCAGTTTTCAATGAAATGAATACTCGGTTGTCTCAACCAACTATTAATGGTAGCCCAGGAAAAAAATCATGAGTTAGAAGTTCTTAATAGCCATAACAGGCAAAAAGTAATTTTTTGAAAAACCTAAAGGTGAAAATATCTCGAAAACTAGAAAACTTTTACTAAGGCCATGTTGATTTATCTGATTGATCTGAAGCCAATCCATCTCCCGTGCAACTCTGGCGTGTTATTTCTGGGACACCCTGTATATATTTAGTCTTGTATAACAGTGTATCAAACTTTTATTCAAAATTTCTCAAAGAGATGTGCAGAAGAAACTGTTCCATGCGGACGTAGCCATTTTAGGGATCACTGTACTGTACAGACGGCATTTCACTTCTACATAATTATAACTTTTGCAAAATTAGTAATCTCAACTTCAATCTTCACGGGTTACTTCAAACAATGTATGGATGCTTTCAGTGATTTTTTTAATAGCAAGTTGAAATTCGGGATTAATGAATCTATATGTACCTTATTTTAGTGTGAAAGTGACCGCTGAAATTTCGCGAATACAGCTAAAAAGCTTTCCAAAAGGAAACTTTTTTAAATGCGATACATCAGATCCTTAGCGTACAAAAGCTCCTAACTTCGTCATTTTGGAAGAAAAAAACTTTATATTCCAGAGTTATAAAGTAGTTATAATTAGCTTCAAACTGATGTTTCACATGATCCCCACTTCCTACTAACAAACATGTAAGATGACACGCAGCCGCTATCTTGAAATTCTCAACTATTACCTTTACTTTAAAATATAGTATTTATCAAATTCATTTTTAACCTGCTAATTTGATCCGTTCAAATATATTTTATTACTTATACCTCGTGAACAAGAGCATTTTTCAGAACAATACCTCAAATTCGGTGTAGCGGATGAAGAACTTATGTTTGATGAAATAAATTAACACAAAGTGAATTCGACAATGGCATCGACACCCTACCTTTGCTGCCTGATATCCTTATTCTCTAAAACGGATGATATGATGATGGTGTATCTTACGATGACGAAGATGCTGATGAAAAAAGTCCCTTCAAGGTCGCATATAAGTCAAACGTGACACAAATCGCGACGTAAAGTAGAATGACGTAGAATGATGTGATGGGTGGTGGGTAAATGTTGTTTTCATTAGGAGATGGCGGTTCCCCCGGATCTGACGGGGGATCAGGGGGCGAATGCTAGGTTTGCTCCTGATTGGAGGATAGCGGTGGAGTTGACGGCTGCTGGAAGTTCCACGATAGCCGTTTATGGATGCTGCTGTCTTTCGCCAATTCAGCTTGTTGCTGCTTCTGGAATAAGAAGAGCAGTTAGTTTACTACTTCTTTAATTCAATTAAATCGACAAATACATACAGTACCACAGTTATAAATGACGAAATCTCGTCAAAGGCCATTCATAATTAATCATGTCAAGCTTATTGCTACCTATTGCTAACCTAAAACTTAGCCTAAAGGAGAATAATAGAAAGTTATCCAAAAGTATATCGCCTAGTCGGCCTATGTACCAATCCTACGCATCAGGAAGAGACATAGGATGAATATATAATTTAAACTGGAGAAAAAAAAAACAATCATTTAATAAACAGATCTTATAGGTTTTTTGGAAAAGTTGCTAACAAAGTTTTGTTAAAATCAACTTCACCTCGCACGTGAAACACCGTTTAAATATGGCTGTCATGTATTGTGGCAAAGGTTGTTGTACGTATTCAAATTGTGAATCAAATTCCTATAAACAAGATTTTGTCCAAGGTAAGAGCGACAGAGGTTTTTAATATTTTGATGATAAATGTCACAAAGTTGTATTTGACCGTATCGGATATTTTCAACCAATTCATGGAAGCTGTTGGGTGAGAAACGAAATTGTTTATACAGGGTGTCCGCAAAGTTGGGGTTTTCCTTTACACGACGTGTAGATCTTGAAAACATAAGCAATTTTTCTTAGTACCATATACACCAATGTCTTAAGGGAACCGAGATAAAGGGCTCTGCAACATCAAAAATATCTGAATACCGTCCTGTAGCCGCGACCCGCCGCGATATCCCCGACTGTTACAAGGTCACTGGCTCAACCCGACGACAGAACTGGGTCGGGGTCAGTGTGTCAGGTCAGTATGCAACCTTCAACCGACGGTTACGGTCACGCGTGTAGAGGTAAACGAACCCGTATAATCGATTGCGTTTCAAAAAAAAAAAATAATAATGGCACACTCATACACCAATAATGAACTCGTTGATATGTTGTTAATTTATGGCGAATGTCTTCAAAATGCTACAGAGGCGTCGCGAGTGTATGCAGATCGTTTCCCTAGACGACATCATCCAAGGCCCCGCAGATTTGTGTACCTGGTCCATTTGGAGGAATTTCGCGGTGGGCACAGTGGGATGCCTAGACAACCACGAATGGTGCAGAACTACTGAATCGCGTAGACGAGAATCCCTCAACAAGCACTAGAGACGTGGCTAGAGAAGTGCAAGTATCAAAAACTAAAGTGTGGCAAATGCTGCGTGAAGAGGGGCTGTATCCGTTTCACGTCCAACGTGTACAAGCCCTTCAACCTGACGATTTTCCAGCAAGAGTGCGGTTTTGTGAGTGGTTGTTGCATCAACATGACAATAATCCGGACTTTTTGAAGTGCATATTGGTGACAGACGAATCTACGTTCACGCGTAATGGGGTGAATAACTTTCGCCACACTCATGTTTGGTCAGTAGACCGCACGCTGTCCGTCGGGCACATTTTCAACAAACATTTTCGGTGAATGTTTGGGCTGGCATGGTGAACGGTATGCTCATTGGACCATTTATTCTCCCAAATCAATTGGACGGGATGCAATACCTAGACTTTTTACGACATTTTGCCTTCCTTGTTAGAAGATGTGCCATTAAGTGTAAGACAATCAATGTGGTTTCTGCACGATGGTGCACCGCCCCATTTTAGACGCGAAGTGCGTGAGTTTTTGGATGAATTATTTCCGAATAGGTGGATCGGACGTAATGGACCCGTAGCGTGGCCTCCGCGATCTCCAGACTTAACACCATGTGATTTTTTTTATTTGGGGAGAAATGAAACGCTTAGTGTACAAAACTGAAGTGCATACGGTTGACGAACTTCGTCTCAGAATTGAACAAGCTGGTGCTTTCATTCGGGGGAGGGACTCCATTCTCAAAGCCTGCACCGATGCTTGGCGATAACTTCGAACAATACCTATAAAGTACGTTTACCTAAAAACTGAAAACGCGGCAACGCCGTCTTATTTGTTACCTCTGTTCGTGGTCTGCACCACCGCCGGCGTCTGCTCGGTAGCGCATCAGCTGATTTCATTTTCTGTTGGAGCGGTATGATTTCGGGCAGAGACGTACTTAGCCCTTCTCGTCAATTGGAGAGTGAGTACTTTTTCCTTTATTTTTTTTTTACTTGGTCGCCCTCGTTTCACTAAACATTACCTTTGTTATTTCAAGGGTAGTTGTTTCTGAAAAGGAAAACCCCCACTTTGCGGACACCCTGTATAGCGGCGGCATGTGTTTTGAATTTTTTGCAGCCTGTATTTTGTTATTTCTTCCAGGCAGAGATAATAAGCAATGTTGTAGTAAGCTATTCTCCTATTTAATATATTTTCATTTGCATATACTGGGTGTTAGGGAAATAATATTCGTAAGTTTAAGAGGTGATTCGTTGCATTATTCTAAACAAAAAAGTTCATTATGACTTATGTCCGAAAATCAATCGTTTTCGAGAAAAGTGAGTCGTAAATAATTTGGCAACGCTGCAACGCAACCGCGATACGAGCGCACGACGACCGCAACTGATTCATCGAATTGTTTACGTTTGTATGATATTTTTGTTGGAAATATGCCTTGAATTATTGAATACTTTAACGCAATCTTTTGTGGCTAATATTTTTTATTTAATAACGCTTTCAGTATAGTATATTTACTTAAACAAAAATGACAGAACTTACCGGTATGTATTAGTAATCACAACAACACGCGATGATACATGCAGTGCAGGCGGAGTACGACGTTGCCAGTTGTTTGAGGGATTTTGTTTGTCTGTTTTTCTTCGGAAAATTGTATTTAATAAGCAAAAAAAATATTTGATTAGAGACAGTTAATTAATAAATAGATGTATTGATACATTTTACGCTATTAGGCATAATGCATTTAAATTATTAAGGTACATAATTAATTTATTTCATGACTAAAAAGAAATAAGTTCAGCACTTTTTTGCTCCAAAACGGTTGATTTTCGGACATAGGTTATAATGAACTTTTTTGCTTAGAATAATGCAAGGAATCACCTCTTGAAGTTTTTATTTATTTCCTTAACACTCTGTATAAGTCTGATCCTGATAAGTAGACCTACTCACAGAGTCAACATCCTCCTGGAACCTGATATCTTCATCAAAATATAAATCTAAATTCTTTGTGTAATCAGAAAATATAAGGGATTGTTGATAGATATGTTTTTTATTTGAGGAAAGCACGCTATTTCTTGGAGCAAAAAAGTGAAGCTGTCGATTTGGATGCGTTAAGTCGTAAATTGTGCGTTGTGGCGTATGTACAAATACATTTTTAATCTCGATGAATGAATTAAGTTGTTAGCCATGTGGTAGTTGTTCGGAGAGAAACTATAAAAAACTTGAAAATCATCAGCATCAAATTGACATGAACAGTGTTGAGAGTGATATCAAAAGTATATATTAGTCCAGGACTATTAGACTTTCTCTGCTGAATAATCCCACCTGGCTGAATTTTTCACCAGAGCTTCTTTTCAGCATTATAAATCATCCCTCAAAAGTCCAAGTGGAGCTTTTTTTATGGGGGGTCAAATGTTACAAAAAACACTTTTTTCCATATATCTATCAATTCTACGATAAAATGAGTAATTACCTTTTTTGTTCAGTATGAAATTCTCCACAAAAAAGGTTTTATGCATTTTTTTCATAGAGATCGTTTTTCCAAGGAAATTTTACTTTCAATGTTGAACACCGAGAAATTTGTAAAATAACGGACTTTTTTCCACGTTACAATAGAGGTAAAGTTTTTTTTCATGTGGATTCCCCAATAGGCCTAATCCACGAAGATAGAATTGAAAAATGATATTATTGTTACTTTTTTCCTTATAAATCAATATAATATATCATTTGATTGACAAAAAGAATGGCAACTTCCCTTCTGAATCTGCCACTGGTTGATAAACACATTATACAAGCGTGCTTTAAAATCAGTCGCGTTCATTTTAGGCAATACCTCAGATACGCTCACCTGATTTTAGTTTGTTCAGGTTATTTCACGCTCTTTAAGTTTACTTGCATCTATTTTAAAAGATTAAGTCACTGAGAATATCCCCAATACATGCAGCTCGATGTAGGATTATTGCATCCTGAAATCACTGAATTTAGTTGATTTAAAATCTATACAAATATTTTTGTCCGTTGAGAAATTCCTCAAACTATACAGTTTTTTTTCCAATTTGAAACTTTTTAGATGAGATCGAAAGATATTCAAAATAAAAGCATCCATGCTTTGATAGAAAATACACACTTACCTTGATATCATCCACAATCCCAGCCGTGTGATATCTACTAGTTCTCTTCATGGCCTGTCGATGGTGTCCTCTATTAAAGAACTCACAATGCTCCTCATCCTGGGAGACACCTAAATGAATAATAAATTTTTAAACATACACAACCTGGAATCTTTAACGCTACCCAAAAAACATCCCAGTGTAAATATGTTACTGGTTTAGGAGTGTAGAATCATTTTTATCTTTCATGGACCTTTCTATCCCATACATTTTCATATTGTAAATGTTTCATCGACATCTTAACAAATCTTGCTTTTGGAAAATGTGAGAATATTTGAAACCTTTTGATATAATAAGATTCTTATTCGATTTCGACTCTTTTTTTTTAGGTCGAAATCTGCAGAAAGGTCAATGATAAAACTCAGTGTGGAATGATAACGTATCGTATTTCAGCGGTGTCAACATGGAAAAAATAAGAAAAAAGAGAAAATGGAAGCTGTGCTAAACACGCAAAAGCTAAAACTATGAACTCTATGTGTTCTCTAAGTTTAGAGTTTTCATATGTATTTGGCCCATATCATGGGTTAACTAAACTTGAAGCAAAATAAATAGAAGGAAAAATATTAACATTCACTTCCACCGTAATAACGCAAAAAATAAATTTCTGTAATCAAAATGAATGAAAACCAATAACCGTCTATTGTGTGTTTTTTCTTCTTTTATGAGAATCGAACAGACATACTTTTTCCAATTGCTTTTCCGTCAGTACTTGCTGACGCCATTTTTGGCATGCTTTTTAATTTTAAATTATAAACCTGAATAACAGTATACACAGAAAACATTTTTTTTAAAACAATAAAAGAATGATCCAAAACAGCCAAAATTATTTGGCTTCCGAGGTTTAAATCTGACGTCATTCCATTATAAATAAAAAAGTGTATAATTAATACAGTATTTTAAACTCATTCTCAAAAGTCTTTTAGTTTCCTTTGCTTGTTGAGGTTTTGTATTTTTTCAAACAAAAGAATATTTCGTTTAAGCAAAAAAATGCTGTTACTGTTCCTGATGTAACAACGATCAAAGACTAACTAACTAACTATGAACATAGATTGTCAAAATAAAATGTGGTTAATAATTTTATTGTAAAGTATGTCGATATAAAAAGTGTGTCCGCTGTTTTGTAGTAAAGTACGCGTTTACAAAAATACACAGATTATTGATTTTCAATTCTCACTTATTTGAGTAGTAAAAAACTCATTTATAAACTGGCAAACTGAATGTATGTCTTGTAGGTGAAGAACATAAGAATGACCATATGTATTTTGCAAAATTTCAAAAATATACAGCGTGTTTCCTAGACTGAGGCAAGCTTCATGCTGCTGTTCTTTCCCTAATTGTAATAATTTCGGAAGGCATGAAGAAAATATTTGAAAAACCCGATTTTGACAGATACTCGAAATATGATCATGGGGAGCAACACAACGTCTGTCATAGTTTCCACATTCTGGATGTTATTGTATTGAAAGAACAACTTCGGAATTTTTGAAAAAGCTCGGTAGACAACTGGTGCACAGATTTTGATTTTGGCACTGACCACAACAATAGTTTTTTTTGTTCAGGTGATAATGATCAATAATGATTTTTTTAACAATTATTTTTATTCGAAAACGTCTCACTGTTTCAAAGCTTGCAAAGTTTTTTAGGGGGTTATGATCGATTCTAATGGAAACGTCGTTAATCTTAATTATTTTAGGGAATGATCTCCTTAATTTCTACACCACATCTAGGAACATTCTGTTTAATAAGAGATGTGTTGTATATAAACAACTGTTTGTACACATTTTATTCTAATTCCCTAATTACTATTTTATTCATAAAAATTATAACGCAATTTGGGCGAAGTCAACTGAATGACGTGAATGACTCTAAGCCTGCTTCAAACATATGACTACAATTTAAATAATTTCTTTAATGTACTCATACATTTCACAGTAACAAGACATACTTTCCCCATGCAGTATCTAGGTAAAACAAAAAGGTGGTGGAAATCTAATAAAATCAAAGCTACGAAGTATCGATCGCTCTTTGAGAAAAATTAAATACGGCGTATAAGTTACCTATGCACGAGTATATGATATGAATTCTAACTATACCATAATTATGTGCTTTATTATTTATATATCTAATATCTACAAATTAAAACGTTTTTGAAGAATAGGAACAGCTGAAGAAATTTAGGAGTTCTTTATGTTTATTAGTAAATTAAAAACACGAATACTATTTCAAGTGAAATGTGTGAGATATGCGCCATACAGCATGTTCCAAAAATGTGACACACCAAAATATTCCGGAAACTAAGGGTGTTAGAAATAACTTTGAATGCAAAAGTTTCAGGAAATCAAATGGCGCATCTAGTGGCGACCTTGGATTTGACTTTGACATTCACCTTATAGAAAGCCAAAAACATTTCCTTTTCAACGATATAAATATCATTGGTGCTAAAATCACATCTAGGGGTTATTTCAAGGTTATGGAATGTTGTGAAGCAGCGGATGACTGGAAAAAGTAGAATATTAAAGAAACACTTTTACTGCGAAAATTACACTACACCCAACGGCACATCTCATGGTGGCCTTCAGTTTAACCTGTCCTACGACCATAAAGGTCAATTCAAGGTCTTTTTTTTCAAATAGAAACCCTTAATTTTGATACCAGCGCTCAAAATGGAGAAACAAATTATATTCAAATATTTAACTAATGGAGGCAAAATCCTAGGTGTTATTTTACGGTCAAATGATCATGCGACTGAAGCGACCGATAATCTTTGCAAGCAAAAAAAAGAGATCTTGGACTGATTCTTCAAGATATTGAGATGTCCGACCAGTGAAGGTCTTAAAAACAAATTGTGGATATTCCAAAACCTCGAAGTTATTAACGCGTACTAAGGGTTATTGCTCATTTCAATGTTGTGATATAAAAAACTCTCAACTCATAGCCTACAGCTATTTCATCTTTCTCATTACCAACATTACCATCAAGATAGAACTAACAACAACCCTTTAGTACCAAGGCAAAGGAGCAATACAATTTTGGCAGGCATTTAAAAATGGATCGTCCCAGGGATCGTCTGACCGACCGTGATCGAATCACTATTCCCATGATGAGAGGATGGGGGTAATATAGTTAGGCTGTTAGTCTTATTCACGCAAATAGGTCATTTGAGGTTGAAATAACCTCTAGGTGTCTGTCAGTGAAACCTTTGAACGTGAGATTTTCCTCCATTTCCAGCGCTGGGATCAAAAATGACGGTTTCCGAGTGAAAAAATCAATTTGACCTTCAAGGTCATAGTCAAGGTGAAAATGAAGGTCACCATCAGACGTGTGTTCTGCAATTTTCGTATAAAGGTTTACCTTTAATATGCTCCATTTTCCTCTGCTTCATGACATTCCATGAGAGAGCAACAATTGACTTTGAAATATCCTCTAAATATAATTGATATTTATACAGAACATTTTTTGGCTTTGTATTAAAAAATGGGGGTACCCATTTGAAAAAATTAACTTGCTGTTGGAAGGACCTTCAAGGTGAATGTTATCATCAAATCCAAGGTCACCACTAGACGCGCCATTTATTTCCAAAAACTTTTGTATCTATGAAGCTTTTTCTAGCATCCTCAGTTTCCATTTGGGCGTGACCATCCTTTTGGGGACGCCCTGTATAACTTGATATATTTTTGGAGTGAACTCTTATAGAAGCTATGTTATACTGGAACGTTGAGCGATCGAACTTCGACATGTATTTTGGTTATCAGCTAATTTATGTGAAAGTAAATAAATTCGTACTTCCATGACTCTCCAGTCAAACGAACAAACGGAACAAAACGTCACAAAGTGTGAGAAACTACGTCTTAGTCGAATCTAAATCTTCTTCTTATAATACCCAAGGGGAGGAAAAAATAGTGTCAGAAAGAAGGTATATCACTTAATTTGTTTTAAAGTTACGCTCCTTCCATGCGTATTTTATCTTAGAGCATTATGCTGCTCACGCCTTAAAGTTTAGGGACATAGGGACCACGGCTACGAAGAAAAACTAAGCCAACTTGCTGTCGAGAATTTGTGTATATACCTGTTCTGCAGTACTCAGATTAAAGGCAGTAAAGTTCATTTACTGTCTTTTTCAAATTTTGACGCCAATTCATTTCTTTTATGTTTACAATTACAAAATATATACTAATTGACATATAAATCCGAACACCCAGTTTAAATGGTTTTATTTTAATAAAAGTTGGTGAATTTATTTATCTTACTGTAAATAACAAGTGAAAAAATGTTCAGCCTTATCAGTTGGACATTCCGGTTTTTATACTGCTTTTTTTTAATTCACTAACGCTCTAAAAATGAATATTTCAGCCGCAGTAAAGAATCAACGTTGGCGGATTTTGGTTCTTGACATCCTTTACGATCGGTTACGATGCCTAGAGTACGGAGACCTGTACGATTTCGTCAACTTAGTGAGTTTGATAGGGGCCGTATAGTGGGACTTCGGGAAGCTGGACTTTCTTTTCGGGCAATTGCAGTTAGAGTGCAAAGAAGTGTAGACACTGTGGTTAGGTGTTGTCAGGCATGGCTTCGAGAAGGCCGTACGCAAAGAGCAAGGGGCACTGGACGCCGCCGTAGAACAACAGACCGTGAAGATCGCCGCCTAAGATTATTGGCCTTAAGGGACCTTTTCTCCACTACCAGGTCCATTGCAAATGAATGGTTTGCAGAACACGGAAGACCTATTGGCATGCGAAGTGTTTACCGGCGAATGAGAAGTTTTGGCTTGTTTTCATACCGGCCACACTGGGTCCTCCCTTTAACTCGAGAACACCGACGTAATCGCCTTGAGTGGTGCAGACAACGGTCATTCTGGGATCAGGAATGGAACAGTATTGTCTTTAGTGACGAGTCAAGATTTTGTTTAGGCATGCACGATGGTCGTGCCAGGGTTAGAAGGCGACGTGGTGAAAGGAGGAATCCACAGTTTCTTGTTGAAAGGCATGTTCATCACACTGTTGGAGTTATGGTTTGGGGTGCTATAGCTTATGGTTCCAGGTCATCTTTAATCTTCATCAGAGGTAACATGAACGCGCAGCGTTATATCCACGAAGTTCTAGAACCCCATCATTTACCCTATCTTGACACCCTGGCAGATCCAACTTTCCAACAAGATAATGCCCGACCACATGTTGCAAGAGTCACAATGGACTTCTTTCAACATAATGATGTCACATTGTTACCATGGCCACCAAGATCTCCCGACTTATCCCCAACTGAGCACGTGTGGGATATGATGGGTAGGAGATTTCTCAATTTGCAACGTCCTCCTCAGACTCTAGAAGCACTTCGAGAGGAGTTGGTGGTTGCCTGGAATGAGATACCACAGGAGGACACTGACCACC